GCAAGCACTCTGAGTTGCATCTCCAGCCAGTTTGCTTATATTTTAAATAATGAATCAGAAACTAGTAAAGGAAAAGCCAGGCAGGGGTAGATCCCAGGATCTATTTACCTTTCCTGGAACACTGTTACAGAAAAACAAACAAACAGCCAGGAAATATGTAACTGTCTAACTGTGAGATAAGTGTCAGTACTGTGTGAAATCTTTTTAAGAGATTTATTTATTTACTTACTTATTTATAAGTGCATGTGACCTACTGACTCTATTATTTAGCATTGCTCATCTGTGCATGTGTTTAGGGCTGACCACTTGGGATTGGATGACCTACTGAGGGGCTTGTGCCTAAAGAAAATGGATTCTCTTCTCTTTCTCAGCAGCCATTCATTTCCTGTCTGCCTCTAGTGGCAGGGTCTTGTGAAATTTCCTCAGCTATGGTGGCATATCTATTGGTGTTGTCGTTATGTAGGTCTTTTTCAAGCAACAACATTATTGAGATTTCATGGGTCCAACTTTCCTTCCATGACTAGAAAACATGATCCTGAAGTCTATGTCTTGATCTGGTGGCTTGTACAATCTTTCTTCTTCCTCTTTTACTTCTCAGGATTGTTATGTTTTGTTTGTTTCTTGTTTCCCTATAACAGTGTTCCAGGAAAGGTAAACGGAAATTGGGATTTTTCTCCTCCATGGTTTTCCTTTAACAGTTTCTGATTGCTTATTCAAAATATAGGGAAATTGGCCAGAGAAGCAGCTCAGTGTGTACAGTGCTTGTCCAGCATACACAAGATCCTGAGTCTAGTCCCCAACACTGAAGAGAGGGTAGAATCCTTTTCCTGCCTTAGACATTGTTGATGTCCTTATCTAACTTGTCATGTAGTTTTTCCTGACCCTTATATGTGAAGTTGTGTTGTAGATGTATCAACAAGGGAATCCCCTCCCCCTTCAAAAACAAACAAGCAGGCAAAAAGCTAGATAACGGTGGTCCACCCTTGGAACTCTTGTGTTGGACATCTCTGGTTTACCATCTTTACACTGTTTTCAGGAACTCTGCCTCCTTATCCTGGATTCAATGAACTGTTCCACTTTTGCACTCACTTGTCTACTGTTTCAGTCTGTCTGGGTTTCTTTGGTAGAATCTGTGGGACAAGAACTCAGTGTTGGTCTCTGATTTTGAGAGCTCCAGTATTTGTTGATTTTCTGGCACCTGTGCATCAATAACAAGCTATCCTGAGTCTACTGGCTAGACTCTATGGCACTCAAAGAGAATACCCTAGTCTCACTGGGTCCTAAGGAGCTTTTTTTTTCCCCCCCTTCAGTGGTGGAGCTGCCCAGCATTGCTCATACTTTAAAAAGAAATCTCAAGGATACTCAGTGGTTCTCTAAGCTTGTCTTGGGCAGAATCCTTTCCTTGCTTTAGTAATTGTTGGTGCCCTATCTCACTTGTCCTTGGAGAAAGTTCACAAGACACATTTTGTATATGTGTGTGTGTGTGTGTATGCATTTAAAAAATGTAGTGCCGGGCAGTGGTGACGCACGCCTTTAATCCCAGCACTTGGGAGGCAGAGGCAGGTGGATTTCTAAGTTCGAGGTCAGCCTGGTCTACAGAGTGAGTGAGTTCCAGGATAGCCATGGCTACACAGGTTTTCGAAAAACCAAAAAAAAAAAAAAAAATGTAGTGATGGAAAAATCTTGGTTTAACTTATAGTCACTGTCATGGAAAGAAACATTTACATGAAAACCATTATAAAATATACAATGTGAATATTCAGTTTAGGCCACCCTGCTGCTAAAACTAAGAATAAGTGTGGTGGTTTGAATAAGAATGGTCTCTATAGGCTGATATATCTGATGTTTAGTCATCAGGGAGTGACAATTTCAAAACTTTGGATTTTCAAAAGCCCACATCAGGCAGTGTTGCTGCGTGTATATATGTGTCCTGCCTGTGGATCAGAATGCAGCTCTTAGGTGCTGCTCCAATGCGCACCTATATGCTGCCATGCCTTCCCCGTCATGATGATAACGGACCAAATCTCTGAAAACGTAAGCCAGCCCAATTAAATGATTCCTTCTATAAAAGTTGCCTTGGTCATGGTGACTCTTCACAGTAATGATTCAGTGATTAAGACAGTAATCATCTCAGGGTTTTTATTTTTTGGGACTTTGTAAGATAAATAGTGATGGATGTTTCGGATGCTCTCCAAAGATGCCTTTGCAACGCCTATGTTTAAGTGTATTTTCTGCATTATGAAACTTTTTGTTATTGAAAAATTTGCCTTAAAACATTTTGAGTCAACATGGAGGCATTTAACTGAAACTAGAGGGCTCAGGAGGCAGGGGAATTATTATAAATTTGAGGCCAGCCTGATCTACAAAGCAGTTTCTAGCCCACTCCCCAAAATACACTTTAATTTAAAAAACACAATACAGAGGCTGGAGAGATGAGTCAGAGATTGAGAGCACTGGATGCTCTTCCACAGGATTAACATTTGATTTTTTTTAACACCCACTTGGAGGTTAACAACCATCTGAAATCTCTTTCTGGCTTCCTTTGGTGCACAGACATACATGTAAGCAAAAACACTCATATAGATAAAATAATATTTTAAAAATATATAGAAAAAAACCCCATGCATTTTGTTAGGGCAGAAATCCAAGTTCCCTCAATGCTTATACATCTGCAGTAGGGACAGACCTAACAGATGATGGATTAACAAGAAGAAACATGATAGTTCTGTGCACAGTCTCTGTCCCACTAAACAGTGACTTAGAATGCTGGCTTACAGCCCATCTTCAATAGGGAACAGTCAATTTATGGAGAATTGATAGGAATGGAAAATAGGATCTGACGGTGGGAAACTGAAAGATGAGTATACAGGGGAGGAAGATGATAAGATGAAGCTTATTCACAGATTCCTTTGTGCTGTGTGACTTTTCCTACAGAAACATAAGTATACAGTCTTTGCTGGCCTTGAACTTGTGATGTTCCTCCTGTCTCTGACTCCTGAGTGCTGCGATTTGACACCAAGTCTTGCTAGAGGGCTTATTAATGAGTAGTTTCCTGAAGTCAGAGAAATGTTACTTGCCATTTCTTTGCAAACTGCCTTTATGTCAGTTTATGGAGTTCCTTTTTCTTTTCTTCTTCTTCTTCTTTTTTTTTTTTTTTTTGGTTTGGTTTTTTCGAGACAGGGTTTCTCTGTGTAGTCCTGGCTGTCCTGGAATTCTGTAGACCAGGCTAGCCTCGAACTCTTGAACTCAGAAATCCACCTGCCTCTGCCTCCCAAGTGCTGGGATTAAAGGCGTGCGCCACCACTGCCTGGCTTTTCTTCTTTTTTTAAAATAAATGTTTAAAATAGATTTTTCTACAATATATTCTGATTATGGTTTCCTCTCCCCTTTTAAACATTTGTTTTTCAGAGAGACAAAGCTTTCGATATCTTGCTGTGTGCACACATTCTGCCATTAATCAGGTTTGTCTACAGTTAGGTATATTCATATTATCATACAACTAATATCTGGGTCTCTTTTCATCTTGGAAACTCTATAACAAAACAGTTAAAGCCTTATCCTCTTTATCAAGCTTCTAGTAAGTACTCTTCTACTTTCTTTTCTAAAGTTTTTAAAAAATTGTATTTATTTAGTGTGTGTGAAGACAACTTGTTGGAGTCACTTCTCTGTTTTTTTGCCATGTGAGCTCTGGGTTGAACCCAGGTCATCAGGCTTGGTGGCAAGTGAGCTATTACACTGGCCCTCTATTTTTCTTTATTATTTCAATAACACTGATATCTCATAAAGATGAATGGTTGTCATTTTGTGACAATTTAGTTAGTATTGTGTGTAAGACTATTATTTTTAGAGGGTGAATAATATTTTCCTATATGCATGTACTCTTAATTTCTGTATAGAAACTGAATAGTGCCTACTACAAACATGGACATTTAAGTATATCTGAGGCGTTCCTTTCAATTTGTTTATTTCCAAAGGCAGAATTGTTGGATTATGGCTATTATCTTGTGATATCTTGAGGACACACACACTTTCGTGTTTCTTCCTTTTATTGAGCCTGTCTCTGAATGTAGAGATAGCACATCTGGTGGCCTTCCTCTCCGTTTTGAATTAGTGGCTCTTAATTGGTGAATATGGTATGGAATTTGGTATTTCTGTGGATATGTGGAGTCAAAAGGGGCCTTAAGGCCTAAACTTTTTTCTTGTAAACTTCCTATCCAATTCTCCAATCGCATTGCTACAACCTGGGCCATTTCCTCAATCTAATGTGCTTGTAGAGGTTCTATGTAAAGGTGTCATGAAATTCAATTCAGCAAAAAAGAGTTCACTTACAAATGGAAAAAAAATGATTTGTTCAACATACTTTCGAAAAAATTATTTTCAGTTTTAGCCGTCGTTCTTTTTATAATGACATTTTAAGGTATGTTCTGTCAGTTTTTGTCAGTACCCTTATTAACTGTGGTTATAGTCCGAAGGGCTGAGCAGAAAACTCTGCAAGACGTAAAGGTCCTTTTTAATATCTAGAGACATACACCGTAGTGGATGGAAATTAGTCATCATTAGCAGATTTTAGATCAATCTTTCTGCCCTCTGGGTCAAAATATGCAGAACGAAGATTACAATTACGACCCACATACTCTATAACGTGTAGCAGCGTACTCACGAATGTTAGGAATACTTGAATCCAGAACAAATGAAAAGCAGCACTTTACATTAGCTTACGTTAGTAGTATAACATCACCATACTAGCAATAAGCAGCGTCCTTGCGCTGTTTCCGGAAATCCTTTGGACGCCCCTGTAGCAATGGAGCATGGCTAGTTCCTCTGAGCACGCTTCTCCCCGCCTCTTAAGATCGCCCCGCCCTGCGGGGGCCAAATCACCAATCATCGTCCGGTCATTGACTGTCGTCATTAATGTGTGCCCACTCTTCCCAGCTTGGGGGCGGGTCCCCGGCCTTGCGCGTGCGCCTCTGCGCCGTCTCTACACGCTGGTTTTGCGTTTTCCGTGCTGCAGTTAAGAGAGCGGTGTCTCGCGTCTGGCGGCGTCGTGGGTCCTGGCAGTCCCCGCCATGGGCAAAACGGTTGACTCTCTGGGTCGGGGAACCAGACCTGACCCGGTGCGGAGCTTCAATCGCTGGAAGAAAAAACACAGCCACAGGCAGCACCAAAAGAAGGAGCGGAGGAAGCAACTTAAGAAGCCGGAATGGCAGGTCGAGCGTGAGGGGATCAGCCGCCTCATGCAAAACTACGAGAAGGTGAGACGGGTTCTGGGCACGTTCGGCGGGCTCTGGAGAGGGAGGGTGGGTGCAGCTGGGTGGTGTCGCTGCTTTGGTGACATGGGGTAAGGGTAGTATGGGAAAGGGGCGGACCCAGCCAGCGAGGCCTCACTAGTGTTCTGTTGGGTGCTGCTACCCAGATCTGACTCTTCTGCTTGCCACAGTGCTGGGAAAAGTGATAGAAATGCAGTGACACTCCGGGTAGGGACATGTAATGCAGCAGTGGTTACAGAATAGAGCGACAATAGTAGTGATTGGTGTGTAAAGTAGCGAATGGAGTGAGAGCCTTCAGTAGATTAGCCCAACATGCAGGAAGTCCTGGGTTCAATCCCCAGCTCCACATAAACGGGGCACATATTGAGTACTAAGGAGGTGGAGATAGGGGGAAAGTTATCCACAGCTTTATAGCAAGTAAGTCAGTGATACATGAAACTTGGTCTCAAAAATGAAATAAATAAGCTAAAATCTGGAGTGATATAAGAAAATGCTGTTGTTCTTGGGAAATGTTTAAAATAACAGAAATACTATGTACCTTTTAAAGTACTCTCCATATATTTTAGATTCTTTGCCCCTATCTTGAGGTATGGATCGTAATATTCCATTTTATGAATAAGAACTGTAGAGTTTGGAGAGGTTAAGTTGTCCTAATTTCCCACGTCTAGTAGTGTGGAGTTGGAACCTAGACCGGAGTCTGTTTCCACAGCTTTGGCTCTTTATGTTGGGAATTGGCTCTGTCTCTTAGCATCATTCTCTGTTCTGTGCCTCATTGTCTTCATGATTTTCATCAAGAATCAATATCGAGAAAATGGAATGTGTTGGTCTGTTCCTTGACATCCCCACCTTGAAGCCAGTGTTAGATGAATAGTCCCACAGTTAACACTGATAAGCCAACATGTTTTCCTGCCCTAGGTGTCTGCTCCTTAGGAATGTTACTTCCTGTTGGTCCCCATAAAACCCATATTTTTCAGCATTCATCTGCCTCTCACCTTTTCAGTGAATGCCTCCTTTCTGGTGTAGGGATTTAAAAGATAGAGTCATCCTGGAACTAAAGTTATTACTTGTTATCTTGTAGCTTAAACAGCAGCAGCAACAACAACAACAACGGGATAAACTGTTCAGAGTTGACAACATTTAAGAATTAGTTTGAATTTTGAGTTCAGATAATTTGATTCAGATTTGGCTATGATTTTGTTCACCAGATATATGACTTTAGTTACTTTTCTTATACTATTCGTACCCCCCCCCCCTTAGTTTAAAAGGCTTAGTAGTAGTACGTGCCTTATAAGTTGTGAGGAATTAGTAAGATAAAGTGTTGAAAACATTATTCACAATGCCTGTCACATAGAAAAAAAGAAGAGGCCATTATTAACAAATTGGCTTTGGCTTTTGTTTTGGACTGTGACTAGAGTTGCTTGCAGAATGCAGCCTTAGCTCGTGCTTGGTTTATTCCTTATTTATATCTGTGATTCCTTGTTTTGCTCTACCCAGAGCGTTTCTGAGTTCATATTCTTATTTCTGCCTATGCTGAATGTCTTAGTTAAGGTTTTACTGCTGTGAACAGATAGCATGTCCAAGGCAACTCTAATAAGGACAACATTTAGTTGGGGTTGGCTTACAGGTTCAGAGGTTCAGTCCATTATCATCAAGGTGGGAACATGACGACATCCAGGCAGACATAGTGCAGAAGGAGCTGAGAGTTCTACATCTCCATCTGAAGGCTGCTAGCAGAATACTGGCTTCCAGACAGCTAGGATGAGGGTCTTAAAGCCCATGCCCATAGTGACACACCTACTCCAACAAGGCCATACCTACTCCAATAGGGCCACACTTTCAAATAGTGCCACTCTGTGGCCCAAGCATATACAAACCATCACATTCCACTCCCTGGTCCCCATAAACTTATTCAAATATATGAGTCTATGAGGGCCATACTAAACCATAACATAGTAAAAAAGTACATTTAGTCCAACTTCCAAAGTCCCCATAGTTTATAGCAGTCTAAACAATGTTAAAAGTCCAACGTTCAAGGTCTTTTCTGAGATTCATCCAATCATTTAACTGTAATCTCCAAAGCAAGTCAGGAAACCAGCTGGCCAGCCTCCAAATTCTGCATCTCATGTCTGATGTCAAAGTGGTCTTTAGATCTCTACCCCTTTAACATCTTTGTTGACTTCAACAAAGTTCTTTCTCCTGGGCTGGTTCCACTCCGTGTTAACAGCTTTCCTTGGCAGGTATCCCATGGCTCTGGCATCTTTAACATCTTTGAGATTCCAAGGCAACTTTAACTTCACAGCTTCTTGTTCCAATGTCTGATCTTCTGGACTCCTCCAAAGGGCTTGGGTTACATCTCCAGCTCTGCCCTCTGTAGCATTCTAGGCTCTGGTTGATTCCACTCTATTGCTGCTGCTGTTTTTGGTGATCTGTCATCTCCAGTACACTGGGGTCTACCATTGCAACTAGGCTTCATAGGCTCTGTTCATGGTGCCAAGCCTCAACTTCATTGCATGACCCCTTCAGTCCTGGGCTGTAAACTACAACTGAGGCTGCACTTTCACCAATGGACTTCCATGGCCTCTCACAGTGCCAAGCCTCTGCTGCTCTCCATGACCTCTAAATGCTTCAAAATCACATCTTTCATGCCTGTACCTTTAAGACTAGTACCGTGTGGATCGCATGGCCAGGCTGCAAGTTCTGCTGTCAGTTTGAGATAGCCTGGCTTCTTTGGATTACACTTAGGTCAGCATCTTTGTGTTGAACCCATGAGGCACTTCCTAGGTGGTTGGTCAGAGCAGGGAGCTTCTTTATTGGCATTCTCAGTTTAGGCCCTGTCTTTTCAAATGACTGCATTTTCCTTTGAGACTTCAATGAGAGGAGTATTGCTCTTGAGGCTCTTTTTCCAGGAGGACACTGGGTTTCTTTTAATGGTGTCAGTCTTAACAACTTACAGTTGCTTTCTCAGCAACCATAGTACCTGAAACTTTAAGTTCCCTTCTTTCTTTGCTAAATGGTAGTTTCTCTGTCTGTTTACTTGTTACATGTGTTTACTGTAGACCTAATTAAGAGCTGTAAACTGTAGCCACGACACTGACTGACTGCTACCCTCACTTGAGATTTGCTTGATAAATAAATTAATCCAATACTTTTGAATTTATCTTCTCTCATGTTCTCAGGACATAGGCAGAATGCAGTTAGATTCTTGGCCAGAATATGACATGGATAGTTTCTAGTATATATCTGGATAGTCATTTTGTCTCCCTGAACCTCATGAACTGTGGGCCTCTACTTCTGCATTTCTCTTGGCATTCTGGTTTTTTTTTTTTTTTTTTTTTGTTTTTTTGAGACAGGGTTTCTCTGAGTAGCCCTGGCTGTCCTGGAACTCACTCTGTAGACCAGGCTAGCCTCGAACTCTCGAACTCAGAAATCCACCTGCCTCTGCCTTCCAAGTACTGGGATTAAAGGCGTGCGCAACCACCGCCCGGCTCTCTTGGCATTCTGAAGTCTCTCCTGGATTTTTTATGAAGGTATGCTTACATACTCTTAAGACTTCTCTAGCTTGAAGTTCCATACTCCTCCAGTCCTCTCACAGACAGGTGTTGAAGGCTTAGGGATCATAGCATCAGGCATACAGCAACAGGCCCAGTTCTTACCATTGTTCTGTATTAGTTACTTGTCTCTTTGTCATGAGCCAGAATACCTGATAGGAAGCTTCTTAAGGAGGGAAGGATTATAGTTTGCGTGGATCCAGTCTGTTTTGCCAGGGAGATGGTAGCAGGAATGTGAGATGGCTGGTCATGCTTTGTCCAAAGATAGGGAACAGATGGATGCTGGTGCTGCCTACACTTAGAGGTCTTCCCACCTTAATTAACCCCATTTAGGAACCATGTCATAGACACACCTAAAAGCTTGTTTCCTGGATGATTCTATATCCTTTCAAGTTGACTGTTACCTATCACACTTTCTTCCTTTAGGTATTCTATATCCTATGAAAGTAGCTCATTGGTTGGTACCACAAGTAAGGAAGGAGGAGTACATCTTAAGTCCTGCTTGGAAGAGTATCTGCCAATTGAGGTTCCTCCATGGGACATCATATTATTTGAATAAATGGCTTTTATTTAGAAGTGATGGTATGCTTCTAATTTTGTTATATGAAGGATGAGCTAGGTGTAGGGGAGTTGTATTATGAAACTAATGAATCATGTAGCATTTCTTGTCTTATCTGACATTATTTTCTTTTCATAATCTTTTTTTTTTCAGATAAATGTAAATGAAATTACAAGATTTTCAGATTTCCCTTTGTCCAAAAAAACATTGAAAGGTAAGTATATATGGTCATTTTAGGATAGAGTGTTAGATTTATTCATATCTTCTTAAAATTAAAAAAAAATGCACATGTGTGTTCATGTGTATGGTATATGTGTGCCTACGTGTGGATGCTAGATGACAGCCTGGGTATTATCCTCAGGAAAACTTTTCATCTTTTTTAAGGCAGGACTTCTCAGTGACCTCGAACTCACTAATTAGGCTAGATTGGCTGGCCTGTGGGCCCCAAGAATCTTTCTCTTTTTCTCTCCTAGTCTAAGTTGAAAAGCACATATACCTCTATATATGACATTTTTTTTGTAGGTTCTAAGGATTGACTCAGGCCCTCATGCACCTTACTGATTGAGCTCTCTCTTTAGCCTCACACCTTTTAGAGAAGAGAAAGGTTAATGGGAAAAAAATAATCTTTTTTTGATATTTTTGGTATCACGAAATACCATAAATTCAAGTTTTGCTTTTTTGAAACAGGGTTTTGTACATAACAGTCCAGGATAGCCTTGAACTCCCTTCATAGTTGAAGCTGTAAACTCAGTGATCCTCCTGCCAGGCATGTACTATCTACTCATCTCTAAAACACTGAATTTTAACCATTTTTATTTCTTATTCTTTCTGGGTTGGTTGAAGATAAGTTAAAAAGGACCAGGAAGCTCTGAACATTTTGAATGAAACTTGATGATTCTATTAGTTAAACAGGAGAACAAACGAAAGTATTTTACCCTTTGTGTTAGTTTTGTAGGGTAGATAGTCTTAACCAGTAGAAATTTTCTTAGAATTAACGGCTAGAAGTCCAAGGTTAAGATGCTGGCAGGAGTCATGATAGGGCTTTAAGAGCCAGGTCTGTGATATTCCTGCCACCCTGACTTGAAGATGGCCTCTTTTTGTAGTGATCTTTTTTTTGACAAAATTATATATGTGTATGGTATACGATAATATGACTTGAAATATGTTTATAAATCAAGCTCATTAATGTACTTATCTTTCCTTCATGATAAGGACATTTAAGATCTACTCTCAGCAATTTTTAAGCATAAAAGTGTAAATTATGCCGGGCAGTGGTGGCGCATGCCTTTGATCCCAGCACTTGGGAGGCAGAGGCAGGCAGATTTCTGAGTTTGAGGCCAGCCTGGTCTACAGAGTGAATTCCAGGACAGCCAGGGGTATACAGAGAAACCCTGTCTCAACCCCCCCCCAAAAAAAAAGCATAAATTATATTAACTATAGATATTGTAATGTAAAATATATCTTTTTTTCTTTTTTTGAGGTAGGTCTCATATATTCTAGATTGGCCTCAATACAGCCATTGCTATGTAGTGGAGGACTACATAGCACTTTGGACTTCTCTGTGGGACTGTGTAAGGATAGCTTGGTTCTTGAATGGGCACAGGTCTTGAACCCCAGACCCTGTTGGGATAAATCGGGGACAATGGCAGGTGTTTGGCCACGCCCCCAGAACCCAGGGTCTTGACACAAAGTCTAAGACCTCCATTTGATCTGTGCTGTTCAGTCATGTAGGGCAATACAGCCCCTCCCTAAGGTAGCCCCTCCCTAAGGTACCCTCCACAGGTCGAGGGCCTGACTTCAGGTCTTCCATATTAATGAGATACCTAAAGGCCAGAGGGTGTAGCTAATTAAGTATTCTTTCCCAGACCCTCTTCCTTACAAACAGTATTTAACCAAAGGCCCACCCTGGGGGTGCGGGGGTGTGCATCCAGATTCAACTACCATCTACCATGAAAATAAAGCCTGTAAAACCTACCTGCCTGTGCGCCCACGCGTAGGCACATCAGTCCCGGCACTTCTGTATCTTAAATACTGACATCATAGGCATGCACCCAGGCATTAAACCCTGGGCTTCATCCATCTAAGTAAACACTCCACCAACTGAGCTGTCCCTGACCCGTAATGTATATCCCCAGCCCATAATATAGCTCTTGAACCTATTTTTTTTTTTTTTTTCAGTTTTTCGAGACAGGGTTTCTCTGTGTAGCCCTGGCTGTCCTGGAACTCACTCTGTAGACCAGGCTGGCCTCGAACTCAGAAATCTGCCTGCCTCTGCCTCCCAAATGCTGGGATTAAAGGCGTGCGCCACCACCGCCCGGCTTCTTGAACCTATTTTTAACCTGTATACCTTTATGTTTAAGTAATAGCTTTCTATCTCCTCACTCCTCTAGTTTCTGGTATCATTCTTTTTGTTTTTAGGATTTATAAACATGAGATCATCTGGTATCTTGTCTTTCTGTGCCAGGTTGTTTCATTTAGTATAATTCATTCTAGGTTCATCCATGTTGTCATCATCTTGCATATTGTCTTAAGTCCTCAAACAAGCCTCTATCTTGAACAGAAGAACAAGTAGTCTCAAGCTTAAAACAAAAGTTAGTTTATTTTTATTACTGGAATGTGTGTGTCGGAGGGCGTGTGAGTGCCACAGTACTACTGTGGGGCCAGAGAACAACTTTGTAAAGTCGGTCCTTTCCTTTCATTTGATCCTGGGGATCAAACTCAGGTCATCAGGCTCGCACAGTAAGTGCTTTACCTGATAAACCATCTCATGTACCTGTTGCCTGCAACATTGAAAGTTTGGAGTTATAAGCTTTTAGTTTTCAGGATATAGGGCTCAGTGGTTATAGGTTTGGAAGTCTAGCCTTTGAGCCACCAGACCTTCAAAATGAAGTGAGCTATTCTTTGACTATTCGTGATTTCCATCAGGGTAGAACAGAAGAACTTCTAGCCATCTATTTGTGATGGGGGCACACAGTCAAGCCTGTAGCATCATCCATTAAGTTTTCTTCTCTTCTCCACACTGCCAGGTTTGCAAGAAGCACAGTACCGCTTGGTAACTGAGATACAGAAGCAGACCATAGGGTTGGCTTTGCAAGGTAAAGATGTGCTTGGAGCTGCCAAAACTGGATCTGGCAAGACTTTGGCTTTTCTTGTTCCAGTAAGTACATTTATTTTGGATCAGAGGCTCTATTACGTGATGTTATTACATTCTATACCTACAACAAAACAGATGGGTGTAAACAGTTGTTTCATGTTGGAGTTCCTGGCCAGACCAAAGCCACATCTATCTTGCTCTTTGCCTGATCTCACACTCCTTAGCTTCTGTCACAGTGTCTTGCCCATGGAAGGTACTCAGTAACTTACTTTGGTGAATGAGTCAGTATGCTTTATAAGCTACTGCATTCTGAAGAAGGTGGATATTGCATGGTGGTAGTGAAGAATGGTCCTGTTCTGTCTTTGTGCTTGGGTTATTCCATTTGAGGTAATTCCCAGGAGACTTGGTAGGGAAAGCTGTTTCTGCTTTCACCCCTGCAATCCTGCCTGTGGTATTTGTATTTGCCACCCGGTTAGGATAAGGCTGACATATATTCATGTTGTGAGAATTCTTTCCCCGGGGAGATGCAAACAAATATATATTCCCACCTTACAGACCAAGAAAACAAAGTTTGATTCCACTGAAGTTCAATGTTGAGAGCCAGTGAATTTCTTGGGTTTACTTATAGAACATGAGTGACAGGTTACTTCATAGGATAGATAACTCCAAAGCAACTGGGCCATTGGAAAGTCATTCTAGCATGGCTTATGACATTCCCATAGCTGCACTGACAGCTTCTCTTCAGTTAGCCCATTACATCTGTGTACTCTAGTACCTCTTGAGACACTGAGGTCATATACAGTTAGGGAAGATGATGTACAGATGACTGGAAGGTTCAGGAGGGAGTGACCAGAATCTCAGGTGAGGGTCTAGTGACCCACTCTTTGCTATGAGGAACATCAAAACAAACAACCTCAGAGGGGTCTCTTGTCAGTAGTTACAGCTGTTCTGTTGAAGATGATGATGTTAATCTTGGAAGATAGTATTGTTCAGTGGCTCACATAAAGGGGATCTGGGTATTGAGAAGTTTCTGGAGCATTGGTAGCTGTTGGGTAGTAGAACTCTTAGGAATTCACTTACATCACAGTTGCTTAGTTGGTTTTCTAATTTGGTTCCTACAAAAACAACTGGCCCTGAGAAAAAGCAGATCATTTGTTTTAGATGCCTCAAAACTGATTTTCTCTTAATTCCTAGTTGTTGTTGTTGTTACAGCATTATTTTTCTACATATAGGAAATTCAGTCACTGTACAACTATAACAGCTATACAGATTCTAATGTGGTTTCTGTTTAGAAAAGAACTTTCCTGTCCCTGTTTCAGTGGTCTAGGGTATCCATGTCCTCCAATAGCTGATCTTCTGATTTTTTTAACTCTGACATCAAATGAGTTTGCCTTAGGGCCTCTCTTTTTCCTCTGAATTGGAGTTGGATGCTTCTGTTAGTTGGAAGAAAATACCTCTTTCAGATTGGATAAAACTTGTGGGAGGAATGCCTTTTGCTTGATGATATATTTGATTTGAAGGGAAAGGTTGAGACTTTAGTCAAAATAAAGATTTTTTTCTAAGAGATTATTAAATACAATTTGCTCTGATCTTCAAGGTATTGGAAGCCTTATACCGTCTGCAGTGGACTTCAACAGACGGCCTGGGAGTTCTGATAATATCACCTACTCGAGAACTGGCCTATCAGACATTTGAGGTTCTTCGCAAAGTAGGGAAGAATCATGATTTTTCAGCCGGTCTCATCATTGGTGGAAAGGTTTGTCCTTGTCTGCCCTTTTCTTTAACATTACTCTGCAGATGACAGGGGGAGAGGAAATGGAGGACTCAGATAAACGGATTGGTCTTTTGGATGGTGCCTCAGTGTGTGTTATCATCTACATAGGTCCAGAAAGTCCACTCTTGTCAGCATTTGAGTTTATGAGGTTTTCAGACAGATGGATAGGCTATCTATAGCAATCTTATTTGTTTGCATGCTTTGGGAAAGAGAATGTTACAGTATGTGGACATAGTACCTTTTAATAGAATGTCTAAGAGGCTGAATAATTAAAAAAAAACAAAACACTGCTGTCAATACCACATGAAAGGAAGATAATTGCTTTGAGGAAACTGTATTTAACTATGGTATTATGGTAAAAAGTGGCTAACTTTTGTTGACTTTTTAGTACATCTGAAGGTTGTATCTGCTATGGTCACCTCTGGGATGTGAGGATAAGTAGTTCTTGAATTTCTATGCAGATGTATGCAAGTAAGGAAGAGGTAGCATCACAAAGCCTACTTTTGTACCTGCTACTTGTCTTTAACATTTGATAGCATCTGGTGGTTCTTATCTCAAGATGAGGACCTGTAAACTGTAGACTGTCAACTGTACTGCTTACTTACCTTCCCCCACCCCAGTAAAATATGGGAAGTTGTGTGGGAGAGCCTGTTCAGTGCCTCTAGTCCTGACTGAGAGAGTTGGAGTAATTATAATTTTTAAGACCGTTTTACTGACTTGATAGGAGATTAAGTCTTGCCACAGTCATTTGTTACTTTATCTTAGACTCAGAATCTTGGGTATGATGAGTGGGTCTAGAAGAGCTCTGAGTTTCTTCTTCTTTTTTCCATATTTTTTTTTTTATTCACTTTACATCCCAATCACAGCCCCCCAACCTCCTGCCCCCAGCCCTATCCCACCCTTACAAATCCCTCCCCACTATTGCCCCACTCCTTCTCTGAGGACATTGATTTCACTTAGCAATGTGTTGGGTGTGCTACAGAACTGAAAGGGAGAAGTGTTGTTTATTTCTAAGGATCTAAACTGCTCCAGTGAAGTTCTGTGTACGTGGCTTTTAGAGTTCTGCACAGGCTGCTGTGAGACTTGCATGTGTAACCAAAGAAACAACTGTTTGCAGGATCTGAAACATGAAGCTGAGAGGATCAACAACATAAATATACTCGTTTGCACACCTGGTCGACTTCTTCAACACATGGATGAAACAGTATGTTTTCACGCCACCAATCTTCAGATGTTAGGTGGGTATGATGATTTCTATTAAAAAACAAAACACCAACCAGCAAACCAATAGTCAAAAACAGCCAAAACTCTCCAAAACCCCACTCATTCCTTAAGAAGCCATTCTGAGATTTAATATCATCAGTGTCGTATTAGATAGCATGATGAAAATAGTCTGAGAAATAATTTGTGCTTTTAATTTAGGTTTTGGGCTCTTAAACTAAGAAGAGTACAAGATTGCTATTTTTTTCTTCTTCAACTGTTAGGGAACATTTAGGGAATGCTGTGTATTTAACCAGGTACTTGAGTGTTAGGCATTGATAATGTTTTTCTTTTTTCTTTCTGGGACATGTGCATGTGCTTGTCTTGTATGTGTGTTCACACCTGTGTGGGAATTCATGGAGTCCTGAGATTGATGTCAGGTGTCTACTGTATTGCTTTCCACTTTATTTAGTGAGACAGTGTCTTTTGGTGAGCATGGAGCACACTGGATTGGCAAGTCCAGCTGACCAGGTTGCCTGGGTCCCACCTCTCTCATGAGTGCTGCGACCTTGCTTTTGTGTGGGCGCTGGAGCTCTGAACTTATGCTTGCATGGCAAGTGCTTATCCACTAAGCCCTCTCCCCAGTCAAATTGTCATTTGGTTTAATTTAATGAACTTCTGTTTTCCATGGAGAGGCTACTTCTTTTTGTTTTTGAATGCTTTTGTACTTACAGAAAAGTTATAGTGGTAAGGTTTCTCTATTGTCTTACTCAGTTGCCCCTAGTTTTAAACTTGCATATAACTGTGATTCATTTGACTGTATTAAGAGATTGACAACATACTGTGTAAATTTAACAGTAGGTTTTGTTTGCTTAGATTTGATCAATTTTCCACTATATTGCTTTTTTTTAAAATAGTGATTCTGAGATTTGAACATAGCACCTTGCACATGTACCTTGCAAATGTTAAGCAATTGAGCTACTACTGAACTGTATCCTTAGCTCAGCCAGTGTCCTTTTCTGCTTTAGGATTCTAAGTAGTACACTAAATTTCTTTTAGCTTAATATATTATTTAAATATTATAGAGCAACTTGCACTTTTCTTTTTGCAGTTCTTGATGAAGCAGATAGAATCTTGGACATGGGCTTTGCTGATACCATGAATGCTATTATTGAAAATCTTCCCAAGAAACGCCAGACTTTACTGTTCTCAGCCACACAGACCAAATCTGTAAAGGACCTTGCACGCTTGAGTTTGAAAGACCCTGAGTATGTCTGGGTTCATGAGAAAGCAAAATACAGGTAGGAATTCTCTTCCTGAGCCATCTCCTTAGTTCAGGAATTAATATTCTAAATTTTTATTTTGTGTGTAATATGCCTTTGTTATTAGATACACAGGATGTACTACTAATAGCTATTAAAATTACTTACATTCTGCATGTATGTTTAAGTGTGAGTATGTTTTAATGTGACATTTCTGAAAATTTGGTCTGGAGAACAAACATTTTTTGATAAGATGTTAACAATTACTTCTACCATAAGTGAGGGAGAGAGGATCAGTCTTTGGATGATCATAGCAAATACTGAGTCAAAGTCAAACATTGTTGGCAGTGCTCTGAGTTTTATTAGAGATGTCTGCATAGGCAAACACAGAATTCTTGGGTTTGATGCAGAAAATAATTTCAACACTGGATATTACAAAGCAGTTTATTAAAATAGGTATATAGTACAGGTTTTCAGTATGAGATTAAGAGAAAAAGGCACCAAGGAAAAATAAGATATTAAAGTGTGGCTTTATGTGGTTATCGGCCTTCTCAAAGGAGAGTAGCACTTCATTGTCTTTGTGTACGATTTGGGTGATTTTTGAAGTTATTATCTTCAAAGAGTTTCCAAGGAATTTAATGAGGTCATAGGGTATTTCCTAAGGTAGTGACAGGGCCAGAGACATAACTATAACTCCTCACTGCCACTGGCAGTAATCAAGAGTTCCTTTTCTAATTAGGACCTCCATACCTCACAGAAAAGAATTTCAGGATAAGCCAACATGACACTTTGTTTTTTTTAAAGCTACCTTTAGCTTAGCTCTTAGGCACACAGGTTAATAGGGAGATGCCTAGTGTAATCATAAGAAACACCCAACATGGATATGGGCTTCTCAAGGAAGAGTCATATCTTGCTGTTAGTAGAGTAGTTATATGTATCTGTGCTTTCCAAGTTACATTACTCGGATAGTATAATTTACAATAAGGCTTAGAACAGTGTTTCTCACCTTTCTAATTCTGTGACTCGTTAATACAGTTCCTCATGTTATGGTGACCCTAACCATAAAATTATTTTCATTGATACTTCATCACTGTAATTTTGCTACTGTTATAAATGACAATGTAGATACCTGTTATTCAGGATATCTAACATGCAACCCCCTGTAAAAGGTTTATTCAATTCCTAAAGGGGTTTCCGCTCATAGGGAGACTAAGAATTTTTTTTTTTTTTATAAACAAAATTGTTATGTGGATTTGTAGGGATACCATTTAAATCTAGGAATGAGGGTAGTGCTGTGGGGGTTGCTGCAAGTGCCACAGCTGTCAGGGAGATGAACTGCAAGAGGCAGGAAGGAAAAGTTGACTTAGTTGATGCTAGTTCAAACTTCTAGAGAATCTTACACCAGGTGGTTTATTGTAAGCATATTTAAGCACAGGACAATTTTAGAAAAAAGGTTTTCTGGTGTAGTACAATTCTTAGTGCAAATGGGGACAAATTACATTGAAAGTTAACTCAAAGTACATGTGACTATGAAGTTGGGTGCTATAGCTTAAGGGCCTAGAATCTGATGTGGTCTCTAACTAAGACTTAGATAGTGTAGAGGTATGTCAGTGACATCTCCCCTAATGGTGGATGAAACAGAGTTAACAATAAAGGTATAGGAAGGCAGAGTCTGGGATAAGCATTCTGGGGGATTTGGGTGATGTCTGGCTCTACAGATAGCAAAGGTCACCAGGTCATTAACATCTGCTCCCAACCTTCTGAGTGGAAAAGAGACACTCCTTTCCTCCTTTGAGGAGACAACCCTGTATGATTGACATTCCTGGTTTCCCTGGTGATCTATAGGTGCAAGGACTTTTGAGTTCCCAACAGTTCTAAGAAATATTCATAGTTATAGATCATTTTGGCTTTGAGTAAGTATGCACACATTTATGTGTGTGTGTGTGTGTGTGTGTGTGTGTGTGTTTAGGTGCATGGATATCGTGGTGTGCATATGGATATCAGAGGACAATCTTGGTTGTACCTTGTTTGAAACAAAGTCCTCTTAATTATTTTTTGGTGCGTATACCAGGGTAGTTGACCTGCAGGCTTCTGAGAATTCTTTGTTTCTGCTTTTCATCTTGTTGTAGGAGCACTAGGTTTATAGATGCTCTCTTGTTACATGGGTTCTGGGGATTTGAACTCAGGTTCTCATGCTATACAGGGAATGCTTTTAAGTATTGAGCCATCTTTTAGTACAGTAATCACAGTTAATTTTCTCTTTAACATTTTTGACCAAGGTATCTTTTGTAAAATATTTATTATTTTTGTCCTAACTAAGCATGATTATTTTATCTTTGACAAGATAGCATTGGGACAACATGTATTGTTCAGTAGGCAATTTGGGTTTTATCAGTGGTGTTTGAAAGTTTTTAAATTTGTATTGCTGAGGATTGAACCATGTGCCCTGCAAGTGTTTTTCCGCTGAGCTATATATATCCTTAGTCCTAAAAACTTTAGCGCTGAAATTACTTTATTATCTGTATATAGTACATTTTATCCATTTACTTATTATAGAACATCTTGATTGAGTCCACATAGTAGTGGTTGGAAATAAATTGCTAAAGATTTGAGTGCAGTTTGTGTGTGTGTGTGTGTGTACTGATTTTTTTCAGTTCTTTTGGATAAATGCCAAAGAGTATGATGGCTGGACTAGGTGACAAGAATGATTTGGGAAGGAAAGTGTCTTCAAAAGTGGCTGTATCATTTCTCAAAATCTGATATTGGAGGCTCTTAAGTGTATAGTGGAGTGTATAGTTGTATCATGTCTTAAATTTGAATTTTCCTCTTAAGCAGCAAGTTGGGGGGGGCATCTTGTTTGCTTATTTGATGTGGAACATCTTTTATGTTCATTTTTCATTGGAATATGCTTTTGGCCAGGTAGCTATTGAGAGCTTTATTCTTTTCTCCCTAAATTGGAATTTGTATTTTCCTAAGTGTACTTTGTGTTTTATGGAGAGCAGTGTATAGTTTGCAAATTTTGTGTTTAACATCCTTTGGCTTTTCTTTTCCTTTTCCTAGCATAACCATTTATCATGAATTCGAAAATTTAAATTTTAATAAATTCTATTTTACCATTTTTCTCTTTTGGTATCTGAAAGTATTTGACTTTCAGTTTTTGGATTATCTGTTCCCTTTCCTTAAAACAATGTGGCTACACTTGGTTGTGCAGGCATGTGCATAGATAGTGTTTATCCCCAGTCTCACAGGCTCTAAACTGTTCTATTCTGCTACTTGTTTTTTGCTTAATGGTACATTTCAGAGGTCACTCCAGAGTGATATATGAATATATTTTTTTATAGTTGCATAATACCTTATGGTGGTGAGTTTAAAAGTTCATTCCACAAATTTCTTAGTAATAGATGTTTGGGTTTATTTTTGATCATGTGGTTCTGAATGATGCCATGTATATTTATACCCCAGACTAATTTGGAATGAAATTATAAGAATTTTTTCAAGAGTAAATCCATATATACTTTTCAAACATTATTATGAAATTTCTAATATGTAGCAAATTCAGATTTTTACAATAAATTCTTTAACAATTTTTTCTATTCATAACTTCATATGTATATATACATATATACATTATAATGTAGTCATATTTGCATTACTCTGTCTTATCTCCTATCTCCTCCCATTGAACTTTTTCTTCCTAACAAGCCTCTCCTCCTGTCATGTCTACAGTAAATTCTTTATACCTGCTACATGTATGCTCACCACCTGCCAGTGACTCCTTTTTCTAGCCATTTCTTCATACCTTTGTGCATTAACTCATCTTAATGTTGGGTGCATTTGCCATAAATTGTAGATTACCATAGACTTTCTCATAAATGCTTCAGCATACATGATCACTAGTGTGAGTTCAATATTTATGTATGTTCTTTGTAAAACTATCTATGGAATATGTATATGTTAAGTTTAAATTGCTTAGATGGATGTTTGTTTTTTTGGATGTTGTTTTTCTCTAATTTCAAACCCCAATAAAGTTGGAGACATTAGCCATCAGCCCAGCAGAGTTTTCCCATGCTGCTTCTCACAGATGGTGGTTGCTACTTTCTGTCTGTGGTTGACTCTTGCTTGATCTTGTACTACTATGTGTATGTGTTTCATATATAACCTTTAAAGGATTTTGAATATATTCAGCCACGATGAGCTTCCTTTATAGGGGACAACAGAGAAAAAAGTGGTGTGTGACAGAAATTGGGAGAATGGACGACTGATAAATTTATTTTTTTAGTGTTGATTTCAAAACAGCAATATGACATTGTTAAAAGAATTTATTTTTCTTGATTTTACAAGCACCCCTGCTACATTGGAACAGAACTATATAATCTGTGAGCTGCACCAAAAAATAAGTGTGCTATTTTCCTTTTTGAGAAGCCACCTAAAGAAGAAGAGTATTGTATTTTTCTCCAGTTGCAAAGAGGTATTCTTTAAAATTGTTTAAAATTCTTTAAAATTGTTCCTTTTGAATGTATTTGTTTTGGATCACTGTCCTTGAGTTGTCAGATTTTAGTTAGACAAATAATGACTCTTTGTTCTATGCAGTGCTAGGAGACAGAGCTGTAAAGATTGATAATCCTGTGGTTTTTGTTAGAAAAGAAATCATGAGTGAAACTTAAAGCCCATTGAAGGTAGAATCTTTGCTGTCTTTTCTTCAGCGCCGTTTTGGATGTTAGTGATTCTGGGAACATAGTACTCTCCATCGAAAGTATTGATAGAGGAATTTAGCTAGGCTAAACTGAGGCTTTATGATATAGCAGTTCTCCTTCTCTCCAAGTGCACGGAACTGAATATTCCTTGTTTTCTGTGCCTCAAATTTTTGTTCATGCTTATTTCTTTTTGGAATGCTTGCTGTACATACCTATATTCTGACACTGTGTAAATAGTTGTTGCTTTTTAAGGTACATTTAAATTGTTTTACATGAAAGTTCTTTTTAGTATCCTTTTAGGATCAGTTGATCTTTAAAAAAAATCCTTCTGTAATATTTTGTCTGTATTCTTACTGGGTTAATAAATAATTGATGAATACCAGCCCTGTACTAGTACTAAAGGATTCAGAGGGTATTTATTTCTCTCATAAGGAGAAGAGATCATGATTGATTTATATTCTACTTTCTCTGTGTATTTAAGACTCCTGATGATAGACTTACAATAAACTCTAGATTTATTGCCCTTGTACATGCTTAGCATGTTAAGCATGCAGGTGAGTTTCTTTCTAACTTGTGGTAAGTTAAGAGGTGGTTTGTTTCTGTTGTCCACTGAAGCCTATACTTTTTCTTTGGAAAGAATGATTCCAGGTACTCTTAGTACTTCTTTCAGAGTTTTATACTTCTTAGGGAGGAGTTGGGTTTGTTATTAGAATATAAGAAATACAGAACAACCTAAGACAGGCTCAGTCTTGTTTATACAATAAAAAAGTGGGAGAGGTGGAGAGCTTTTGAGGCTGCTGGACAAGAATCTCACATGGGCCAGGGACAAGGAAATGGGCTGCTTGGCAGGAATATGACATTGGCCAAAGACAAGGAAGTGGGCTTCAGGCAGGAATCTGACATTAGGCTAGAACTAAGAAGTAATTTCAGGCAAGAATCTAAATTTTAGGCTAGAAAAAGGAAGTATGGTTCAGACATGATATGACTTTGGGGTAGAACAGGGAAGTAGGCTCAGATATTTTGGTCATCCTGATAAGCCCTTAAAAACAGTGATCATGGGAGTGTTCACGGAACTTTGTTTATTGCCTTGCTTGTTCCTAGACTATGTGCATCTATTGTATTGCTAGTTCCTCAACCTAGAACTGATCTTAATACTTGCATGTAATTAAAATGGTATAAAAGCAAAAAGGAGGAGGGGGATGGTATGGGGGTTTTTAGGGAGGGGAGATGGGGATAGGAGATGACATTTGAAATGTAAATAAATAAAATATCCGATTTAAAAAAAAGAAAAATAAAAAATAATGTACAGAATTGTTTTTATTCCAACTCTACTCTTCTTGCCATAGTAGTTTGTCTGTGCTTGCCTTTCAGTGTGTTAGTCAGAATTTGCCACAGAGCAGAATGTTTGACAGATTCACCTTAAGGAAAGAATTATTTTAGCTTATGCTTTCAGAGGTTTTAGTCTGTCATGGGGGTATGTGACTGAGCAGAGCAGTGCATGTCATGATGGCCAGAGAGCAGAGAGAAGGCCTGATCTAGATGCTGCCATATTCAGTCCTCTGCCTCTTAGCTAATCCTTTCTCAAAAAGACCTATAGATCCAGTGGTGTACTTTATTAATCTTCTCCTGCTAATCAAATTGATAATCAAGATCTACTGTCACAGTGCTCAGTCCTGTGTGTTCTAAGCTTTGACTTCATCTGCAAAGTATCTTTGCTGTATATAGCAAATGTCCCTTTGTCTTGCCCATTTTTCTCTCTCTACCATTTGTTGATAATTGCCCATACTGGGAATGAAAAGCAAACCTAATGATCCTGCCTTTCTGTTCTTCACAATGCCTTCTAAAGACTTGTTTTTACTAGTTGAGTCTACTGTCCTTTACCTTCAATTCAGTTAGCTCTTAAAGGATATAGATTTCTAGTTAGTGCTCAGTAATCAGTTCTTCCTTGTCCTATCAGAAGCCCGTCCCCTTGCTTAATCTTTTGACTTCATATCCATTAACCTGTCTTCTTCTACCTTTTTGAGTGATCTGTTATAACTATTTTGCTAGGTCTTTCCTGTTTGACTGCTGGAATATTGAATACTTCTGAGCTCTCCCTTCTGCCCTCTTTTCTTAGTATGTTTTGTGGGTAACCTCATGATCTTCATGGTGTAAATGCAGTCTGAATGCTGTCAATTGCAGAATCTCAATCACAAGCCCCGACTTCTTTCCTGAGCTCTGCCTGGCTACTGGGAATATCCAGTTGTTTGAAGAAACCTTTCAAATAAGAACACTTCAGGAGTTGCTGTTCCTAGCTCTGCTTTCCCCAATGTTTCTCAATTTTTGTAACCCTTAATTCTTGTCTTTTCATCCATAGTGATACTTTTGGTAATATGTTAGGTTCTTAACTTCTTGTCATCTCCCCTGCTCCAGGACAGTTTGAACCATGCTTAACTTTCTGTTAGCTTCCTGCTTGGGTCTCCTCTAATGACTTTCTGTAAGAGTTAAATTCCATGCTTGGACTCTTACCTTCCACTTCAGCTGGTTTGTTAAAGAACAGGAATTGAAGTCCCTTTTCTATTTATTTATTTATTTATTTATTTGGTTTTTTTCGAGACAGGGTTTCTCTGTATAGCTCTGGCTGTCCTGGAACTCACACTATAGACCAGGCTGGCCTCGAACTCAGAAATCCGCCTGCCTCTGCCTCCCAAGTGCTGGGATTAAAGGCATGCACCACTACCGCCCGGCTCCCTTTTCTATTTAAAAGAACCATATTATAGAAAGTTTTCATGAAGTCATTTAACTGAATTTCTATATATTGTTTTCCTAAAACTAATTTGCCTCAGTGCATCTGTGGCCTGAAGGTTTGTCTCTACCATCGCTTTTTTCATGGTATTCCTTTGTATATCTTTACAATACAAAGGTATGAATCTATTATTTCTGATTTTACTGGCAAAGAATCAGAACTTCCCTGACTCTAGAGTGTTAAAGAACCTAGAAGTAATAATGAGCCGGGCAGTGGTGACGCACGCCTTTAATCCCAGCACTTGGGAGGCAGAGGCAGGCGGATTTCTGAGTTCGAGAGTTCGGGGCTAGCCTGGTCTACAGAGTGAGTTCCAGGACAGCCGGGGCAAACCAAAAAAACCCTGTCTAAACCCCCCCCCCCCCCAAAAAAAAAGAAGAAGTAATAATGCAACAGCAGTGGTTGGTCCAAAAAGAAAGGAGACATATAATTCCCTTCAGAAGTAATGCTGTTTATGTGTTTAGGGGGTGCAAACCTGTGTACTAATACAGAGTTTTGCTATTTAGAAAGCAAGTAACTTTTAAGACTAGTATTGCAGTCTAGTCACCTTATATTGTGATTTTGGGATTTTTATAGTTCAAAAGGTTTCCTCTGGGTCCAATTTTTTTAAAAAATTTATGTACACAAGTTTTATATATGTTAGAAATGTTGTTGAATTCTGGCTCAGTCTAACAGTAACTGTCCAGTTAGGAGTAAGTACATAGTAAAGAAGAAACTAGAACAATAGTTAACTCCTTTAGGCCTATACATTGAATATATTCATAATAATTTTTTATGTCTAAGTTATTTGTTAAATCCTATTCTTTTTTTTTAAGAAGGGGGATCAGCTAAGTGATAGTATGATAAATTCTCAGTTTGAGGAGAAAATTTACACAGCCTGCTGTTATAGGAAATTAAATATACAACTTAAGATCATTTGCTGCAGAAATTTATGAATTATAATGTGATTAGTAAAAGACTGTCAACTTAAAACCTAAGCTGCAGTTTTGTGAGGTCAAGAGATAGAAGTAAAAGTTAAGGAGGGAAGGAAGCCAAGCTTTCTTCCATTACGAGTTCTTCTCGTAATTCTCATAGCCTTTCGATATAGAATCTCCTGGATATTTATATGATAAAACTGATTATGTTAAAATAAAGTTGTATGGAGGTTATCTTTTTACAACCATTCAAAATTGGAAAGAATTTAGTAGATTTAAAAATGTAAGAACTTTTTTCAAATTTTATTTTTAGTGATTGAGATTTAAATTTTTTAAAATCAAAATTCTTTTAGAAAATATGTATGCAAAAATGTTGCAAGACCTTAATTTTAGATTACATTTCTTTAAAAAAAAAAAATCCTGCAGTCGGTGAAATTTGTTCTCTCTCCTGAGGCGGTACCTTACTCTTCTGCTTGTGCCCAGGTTCAGTATCTGTACAGAGTGTTCTGCCGGCTGCGCCCAGGGATCTCCATCCTTGCTCTCCATGGCCGGCAACAGCAGATGAGAAGAATGGAAGTCTACAATGAATTTGTCCGAAAGAGGGCCGCAGTACTTTTTGCTACTGATATTGCAGCCAGGGGACTGGGTAAGTAAACTTCCTGGAATACCATTACTGTGGTCATAGGAAATATAGTTACTTACAGGGTGTTTTCTGGAAATCTCAAATCTTGTGAGAGAAAAATAGTAAATTGGTAAGTTGATGAACGTGATAGATGATGGTGGAACATTGTGTCGTATTTGCATCTCTGTGATCTTGTTATGTTTCATAATTAAATTATAATCCTAGGAGCCTCCACAGTCATCAAAGGAAGTCAAAAAGATTAAAAGTTTAAAGATAAGAAAAATTATTACAACTTTGAAAGCTGAAATTATAACTCATTTAGTAAGAAAAATTAGTGAAATCAATTTTTTTGACCAATCATTCTGACTTTTAAAGTCACTATATTTAATATACTTTAATTTTATTTTCCAAAAGGCACTGTAGTGACATGGCCTATTCCTTGTAGATTTGTGGGGTAGGGTGAAGTGGAGGTGTTTAGAGAACTAGTAACTCTGTTATTATTTATAGAATATTTTAAGCCTACATAAACAGTAGGGAAACATATTACCCTTTTCTAGCAGTTACTCTTTTGAGATGATCTCACTGTGTAGTTCCTAGCTAGTCTAGACTTGCTTTGTAGACTAGATTGGCCTCAGAGTCACAGAAATCCACCTGCTTCTGCTTCTCAAGTGCTGGGGTTGAATGTGTGTACAATTACTTCCAGCTGATTTTTTTTTTTTTTAATTTTTTAAAATTTTTTTAAAGTTTTTATTTATTTATTTACTACATGTACGTACACTGTAGCTGTCTTCAAACACCCTGTAAGAGGGCATCAGATCTCATTGTAGATGGTTGTGAGCCACCATGTGGTTGCTGGGGTTTGAACTCATGACCTCTGGAAGAGCAGTCAGTGCTCTTAACCACTGAGCCATCTCACCAGCCCGATTTTTTATTTTTTAATTATTCTCTTTGTCATTCTGGCCCTCTTAGAGTGATTTTTTTTTTGATTTTCTTCAGAAATCCTTGCAGCAAATCCAGAGTGTGTAGGGATTTTGAGAACAAGTTTCTTTGAAAATGAGTAAGGCCTGTAGTAGTCAGAAATATACATTGTATAATTGCTTATTAGTTTACTTGGAGGCAGTATTAGCTGGAAAAATAGACATGTGTAAATTTAAAAACAGCTTACATTAAAAAAATTATCTTTATTATTTTTTAATGCGTCTGTGTATATGTTGGTGTATATGCAAAGTATGTGGAGGCTAGAGGTGATGTGTAATGCCATCTATGCTTTCTGCCTTACTTTTTGATACACAGTATCTCACTGAGTTTGGCGTTTACAGAGTCTGCTAGAATAGCTAGCCAATAAGCCCCCAAGTCCTTCTATTCCCGTCTGCCGAGAGCTGGAGTTAGAGGCAAGTGCTTCCATGAGTGACTTAAACATTTTTTTGTTTTTTTGTTTTTTTTTAAATGTGAGTGCTCGGGATTCACACTAAGGTCCTCATGCTTATGTGACAAACACTTAGCCCAACTTAACCATCTTCTCAGACCCAGAAATCAGCTTACAGTCACCGGAATCCTATGAAGAGTGATGCTTTAGATCATTAACCAGGGCACTTCGTTGTCAGTCACAAAGCAGCCATCTTTCTGCTTCAGAAATGAAACAGTCTAGTTTTAGTCCACTTTGTCAAGTTAGAGAAATATAATTTCTTTGTTAATGCAACTAATTTATTGTAAATAAAGTTTTGTTAGTGAGATGTGATAGAAAATCCTGACTCATAATGCTATAAAATAATAATAGTACAGCAGACTACATATTGAAATTATCTCACCTTCTCTGATATTTCTTCTGTAAAGATTTTCCAGCTGTGAATTGGGTCCTTCAGTTTGATTGTCCAGAGGATGCCAACACATATATTCACAGAGCTGGTAGAACTGCCAGGTAGGTGTGCGGGCTTACTTGTTTTTTGTACTGTATAATAACAAAATGTGCTTTTGCTGGAGCTATAGGTAACAAAGAATGGAACAATTAGGTGTGGAGTTAATATCTAATTTATAACAGACTGTGAGTTTATAACAGCCTGATAAACTAGGGAGATGGCCCAGCAGATTAAAGTGCTCACCATACAAGCCTAAACACCTGAGTTTGATCCCTGGAATCCACTTAAAAAGCCTAATAGAGTGGTGCTCATCTTAGTGTATTTCAATGGCAAGATAGGAGATAAAGATAGAGGATTTGCTTAGAAGCTTGCAAACTAGCTAGCCTGTGCATCAGCAGAAGCAAAAGACTCTCTTCCTTACCAGGAGGAAGGTAAGAACCACTGAACGTCAGAAAAGTTGGTTTCTAACCTCTACAAAGACTCTATGGCATACACAACAAGCAGATAAAATAAGAATAAAAAATTATAACCTGAAGGCTGTTATTTATTTATTTATTTTGGTTTGGTTTTTTGAGACAGGGTTTCTCTGTGTAGCCCTGGCTCTCCTGGAACTCGCTCTGTAGTACCTTATACTAGCCAAATAGCGAGCTAAATGGAAAATGGATCTAAATGAGTAAAAAGGATTATTTAATTGTTAGTATTATTGAGATTGCACTGAAATTTATAGTGGCTAACAGTTTTCTGGGTCACAATGCTTCTCAAAAGCCTTACAATACTTCTTTTGCCTTAATAAGTCTTTGCTCGGAAGTTGATCTTAAAAAAAGTAGAGAGATGGACTCTGGATGTGGTGGTTCTTAGCTGAGGATTGGAAGACTGAGGCAAAGAATCTTAAAGTTCAAGGCATGCCTAGGCAATGTAGATCGTGCTTTAAATAGAAGTTAAAAGAGGACAAAGGATATACTTCAGTGGAAAAATTCTTGTCCTAGCATGTGTAAGGTCCTTAGTGCCTGCCATTCATGTATGAGGACCCGAGTTTGAATCCCTGGTACTCATCTATAAACACTTGGAAAGTGACATTCATCTGTTTTTTTAGTGCTGTTGGGTTGAGACAGGGAGATCCTCAGAGCTTATTGACCAGCTAGTCTGTTGAGTAGACGAGTTCACTAGGTTCAGTAAGAGACTGCCTCAATAAATAAGATAACTATAAAATGTGGAAAGCAGATGAATAACATTTCAGTAAACTGTTGTAATATGGTATTTGTAATGGCTAAGAATTGTAAATAACAAATGTTAATTATAATAAAGTTATGTTAATTATGAATAGCTGTATTTGAACTGTTTCTTTGGTTTACATTTTCTTACTGTTTTCCTTGTCATCAAAACAGTATTATTTGGTACTTTTAATGGAGTTTGGTGTTGACCTAACTGGACTAGCATCTGCTTCTGGTTTCAAGGCTTTTTTGCCAGGGAGGAGCAGGTCTTCAGGCCTAAAGACTAAGTTCTTGTTGCACAAAGACTACTTTTCTAGCTCGCTTTATCTTTGTACCTGATCTGTGCCCATTCCTTCCCCACCTTCCATTCTCTCCCTTCTCCCTTTCTCCCATCCTTTTTCTTTGCAAACTTATTTCTTCTTTCTTTGCAAACCTTCTCTTCTTTTCCCCTCTTCATTTCTTCAGCTAATTCAGTTTTTTAGCTAATTTTGAAGAAAATAATAGATATTTTCATGTGTAAAGACATTTTCAGCTGAAATGAAAAGTTTTTCATGTTTCCTAATTTTTATGTAATGTTAAGAGTGTCTGTTTTCTGGTTGATCTGAATTTATACCATGGACCAACCATCAAATATGACTAATAAAAAACTCAAATATATTTCTTTTAAGAACAAAAGAAGGAACACGTTGTAATGGCAAACATTTTATAGTAGGTTGATTTTTTTTTTAGAAGTTACAAAAGGAAGTCTCTGAGTTGGAATTAATGACATATTTTTAAACAAGCAGTGAGAGTTGAGATTCTGTGGAGATACCACTGCATGAGACAGACTTGCCATTAAAATTTATTTTCTCTTGAGAGCTAAGAGATATGGACATATAATATCAGATGTTGTGTGTATACTTACTTTTTTTGTTTTGTTTTGTTTTGTTTTTGTTTTTTCGAGACAGGGTTTCTCTATGTAGTCCTGGCTGTCCTGGAACTCACTCTGTAGACCAGGCTGGCTTTGAACTCAGAAATCCGCCTGCCTCTGCCTCCCAAGTGCTGGGATTAAAGGCGTGCGCCACCACTGCCCGGCTTGTGTGTTTAATTGCTATTGTGTATGTATGCGTATAAGTGTGTGATATATGTGTGAGCACACATGACATGGCTGTGGAGATAGAGGACAACTTTGTGGGGTCAGCTTTCTTTTTCCACTTTCACTTGGGTTCTAGGGATTGAGCTCCGGTTGCCAGGCTTTGGTGGCAGGAGCCTTTACCCACTAAACCTCTCACCAGCCCTGTTTCCAGTTTCTTAAGGAAGACCTTAATTTTCTGGGTTCACATTTGGATTATTTTTCACAGTGAGATCTTTTGAGAAGTCTTAGTGGAAGTTGGTGGTATAAATCTTTTCCCCAATGCCTTAATTCCTGTTAGTAAGCATGTGGTTTGTAAAAATTGGTGCATGCATCCACTCACATCTGCAGTTTTGTGGTCCTTTAGGTCTTGGATAAGAATGGTTATGTATGGTATCTTGTAAACATTTTGGACTAGAAAGTGGCTTACAGGCCTTTACCTGGGCCAGTGGCATGATGTGAAAAGTGGAGACTGATTCCTTCATAGAATATATTTAGCAGTATTTTGAAATTTCTCTATGTGAGATTAATAAGTGTTTCAGTATATCAAGAAATGATTCAAGAAAAGAAAGTATTTCAGGTTTTTAGTTTTGGAAAAGGTGGTGGAAATACAATGTAGTAGAACGTGTTATGGTGAGCATTAACTGGATCTTAATGGTTGTAGATAGAGACTTAGAACATCACTGCAATGCTAAGTCTGAAGAGATTTCATATATATATATACATATATATATATGTATATATATATGTATGTATATATGTATTTCATTTTATATATATTCCATTATATATATATTCATAGGAATATATATAAGAGAATACTATTTTAAAGAATATTTTAATGTGATTTTTAAATAGTCATTATCTTTTAAGGTGGAAGTGTGACCCTTCATACATAAGCAACAAATTCTGAATTGACTATTTCAGATATATAGTCAATGAAAAGGTTAGCATATGTAATGCTTGCTTTTTTTTCTGTCAGTTTAAAATGACCATTAATGGGCTGAGAGATAATGAGAAAGCTTCGTGGGCCATGAGACTGAATAATTGAGTTGAATAACGGCTAAATTAAAAATGGAAACTAATTAAAAATCCTGTGTTAGGCTGTTGCCAGAAAGTGTTTGCTTTTGGAATTGAGCATTAATAAATAAATATAAAAAAGTGGATTTGCTAGAAAAATTACTAAAGTTGGAGAATCTGGCTTATTTATCTTTTTGTGACTCACCAAGGAGAAATAAAGGATGGTCCAGGTTTATTTCTTTCATGCATTTACTGTTTTACTGAATCTATAACAAAGAAAAGTTTTCCTTAATCTACTTAACAAATGAAGTCCTTTTTGAGACAAGTGAGTGAAGATAGTTTATAGTGATCCATGTTGCAGAACATTTTGCCGCTTAAAAACAATTGTCTTTAAGGCTTGCAGGTTTTGAATTCTAAAAAAAACTTGAATTCTTTTATTTTAAATTAAAAATTTACAGTTGGAAATACAGAAAATTTGTGATTAGAAAGAAGACACATACCAGATAAGCTCTTTATGTATGGGTAGTAGGGAGGCTAGGGTAGAAGACGGGAGTTTTTATATAACCGTTTTCTGTTCTAGAGTACCAAGAGTGCTTGTAGTTCTCAAAATATTGGCTTAATTTAGATAGCAAAGTGATTCCACTAGGGGACAGCATAACCAAGCTTTTGAATTTCACATGCTTTTGATATACATCTTAGCAAGAAGTATGAAGCTGGAAATTGGTTAAAATTCCTAAATTGGGAAGAGTTCATGGTTTGGAGAAAATGCTCATATTTTAAGGAATCATTGAGAATTTTTTTAGAGTCTTTAGCTTTTGCAATCTGAAATAATAGAGAAAAAACAATTTCCATAAGAATTAAGCCTAATGTGAATTTATTAGGTATGTGAGAGTAACAGTATTTGCAAGTGAAATTTCTTTTTCTTAAAAATTCACTTAGCTGGAAATTTTAAACTTCTACTAGTCTGTTTCTCCCAAAGAGGAAATTGCTTCCTTATGTGGCCTTCTGCATATGTCTGTTGATAACTAGGCTTTGAAAGCGGAATGAAAGGGTAAAGCAAATCCTTTGTTTTGTAACGTGAAGCATTGAAGAGCTGGGCTGCAACAGCTGCTACAGAGGCAAGTAAGGTCTGATGCTTCTCAGGCGCTTCCTCTGCTCTCACTCTCCTATGGTCTGCTCAATCTAGCAGGCAGAATGATCTTTCCTGACTCCTGTGAGGACTTCTCAGTTCAGTCAGTGATAGGCCTGTACACTTTCTCCATTTACCCCATCCCTGGACCCCCTTGTTACAGGCCAGATCTTATTACTGCTTATGTTTGTGTGCCAGACACACTGTTGCCTTAATTTTATGTTAGTTTCTGGTAAAAAGCTTTTCCCACAGTTATCTGTGTGGCTATTTCTGTTATCCTCCTCAAGGATATCCACTCCTTTGCACCCTTCTCTTTTCTGTATTATTTATCACATTTAGATATGTTAGAACAATTAGTTAGTTTTCCTTTTATTCTTTGCTTTTATCATTTCTAGGCTGTTTTATAAAAATTTTCTTTTTTGTTGTTGTCTTGTTTTTTTTTCTACATTGGTGGCCAGTGAGCCCAAGAGATTCTCCTGTTTCCCCTTCTTCCCAGCACTTGGGTACAGGCATGCATTTTATAACTAGCTTTTTACCTGGATGGTGGGGATCTGAACTCAGTTCTTCCCTCATGCTTGCTTAGCAAAGCCTGTGTTGCTTCTGAGTTCACTCATGGTATCACCGCCTCACCTTGTCCTCCGACTTTGAACATTTCCTCAGAGGTGTTACAGATACGGCAGTTTTGATGTCTGTCAGCTATCTTATTTGGTTAGGATGTCACCTTTTTATGTTATATGCTAATAACTTCTGCCACCATACATGGTTTGGTCCAGTGACTAAAGGGAATGTTTTAAAATTTATATTAGGCCGGGCGGTGGTGGCGCATGCCTTTAATCCCAGCACTTGGGAGGCAGAGGCAGGCGGATTTCTGAGTTCAAGAGTTTGAGGCTAGCCTGGTCTACAGAGTGAGTTCCAGGACAGCCAGGGCTACACAGAGAAACCCTGTCTCGAAAAAACAAAACAAAACAAAAAAAACCAAAAAAAAACAAATAAAATTTATACTATTTTGCAGTAAATGAAGATGAATAACTTTGAGCCATACAATTCTCCATTTAAACAATGAGGAAGGTATTTACAACTAGTTTTTGAGATCCAACAGATAATTAGATAAAGAAGTATCTATATATTCATATTTCCTTGTTTACAAGAAAATTATATAAGAATAAAGACAAAATATTCAAGTAGTCACTGGTCTCTGAAATACTGTCTTTATCCTTTGTGAAACTTGGCTGTCCCTTATGTGTCTCTATCCCTAGTGTTAGACTAGCTGCTGATTCTTCAAGTTTCATTTAAGGTGTCATTATTTCTGGAAAATTGTCTTAATATGTAGACTATTAGGTAGAATTCTGTTATGTTCTTATAGCTTCCTTTATATTACAAACACATTTAAAACCCTATGATAATCCCCCCCACCCCACCAAGACAGGGTTTCTTGTATGGTCTTGGCTGTTCTGGAACTCTGCAGATCAGGCTGGCCTTTCCAATCCCTGTTTTCATAGGCACTCAGCCTCAGCCTTGTTAGTAGCCAGCAGAATGTCTGTTTGCTTACCATCTCAGCACCTGGCATATTAATAAGATTTTAAAAAATTAGCTATAGTAAAATAGCTTAACATTTTGGTATGTTTTATTTAATCTTTTTCAGTCTGTGCATACAAGGAATGCATATATTTTTTCCTATTAGAATGGAGTTAAGTTTTAAAGTTAATATGTAAGATAAAATGCTTCCCTTTAGTTGTTACACTAAAAAGTACAGTACCATACTCTTAGTTTTGTTTTGTTTTGTTCGAGACAGCTCACTCTGTAGACCAGGCTGGCCTCGAACTCAGAAATCCGCCTGTCTCTGCCTCCCAAGTGCTGGGATTTAAAGGCCACCACCGCCCAGCACCCATTCTCTTAGTTAAAGCCAGGTTTCCTTTCAACATTCAGTGATAAAATGCTGTTTGCAGACAGTGTTACGGAGTCTCTGCAGAGGCGTTCAAGGCAGTGGCAGTTGGGCTCTAAGCACCTTTTTAGTCATCTTTCTGGTTGTTCATTTTTGTATCCTGCTGTGGACCTTCTCTTGTTTAGATCTTCTTTATTCAAGCAGTCTGATATTGTCTGGCTTCCTGTATGGTGACATGGCATTCTTTTAGAACACCTTAGTTTCCCTTTTCTATCTACCTTCAAGACCTACCTGAACTTCTGTCTGCTGTGTCATATTCTTTCTCTGGAAGTTCTGAGTTGGTGGTGCATGTTGCCTGTGGCTGTCTTTTGGCATTCTTTGATTGTTGTCTTGAGTTTCTTGCTTGTATGTGTTTTTCAGTTCTGATTAGGATGAGTGTTACATTGCTTGAAGACAGGGACCTGCTCCTTGGTGTTCTTTAGTTTATTCCTGAGTCATAGCTTCTTAGTAAATAGTTATTTGGTCAGTTATAAAAATGCGCCCCTCAGATTTTATAGCATGAGTTTAAAGAATCCTTTGAGATTATGTTTTCTTTTGTGTACCTGAAAAATTCCCTAAATATCCTATCTGATTTCCGTTTTGTTGCTTATGTGTACCAGCCTACACTGTCATGTTAGTAAATTGTATTCAAGCAGCCCAAGCAACTTCAGTACTTTAGAAAGCCTTTGGCCTGTGTCACTACAGAGTTTTGAAGGTATGGCTTTAGATGAGATGAGACCAGTTACCAGGATTGATGGTTTTTACCTGAGGGGGCCCATTCCTTTACACTGCTCTGAAAAGTTTTATTTTAAAGGTACCAGCAAAATCTGTAGGAAGATGAACTGATTTATATATTTTGATTTCCCAAGACAGGGTTTTACTGCATAGTTCAATGTTGCTTTGAATCTGTAGCAATTCTTCTGCCTTAGCCTCCTGTTTTAGAACTTATGGGCAAATGTTATTAGTCCTGACAAATTGATTTCTTCAGTGTACTTGGTTGCCATGATTAATAAATAATTTTGTCATAATACTATTGTGGCTTCAGTGAAAATAGCGTCCTTGTTATATCTGTATGGACCTGTTTTAAAGTATCCCTTTTGGAGTTCAGCCTGTTATTGCCTGAGGCCAGCATGGGCTACATACAAAAGCAAAGGCATCCCTGGCTATAATATTGAGACCTCCATCTCAAAAGATGAAATTTGTTTAACAACTTTGTTTTAGATGCTAGCTCTACTATTGAGGTACAGCCTTAAAGACAGTGGGAATTATAGCAGGTGATTGGAATTTGAAGCAAGACAGCCAGAACCCTACTTTACTGACATCACAGAATATTAACAGCAGGTTTTTCTAGCTTCCTAATGAAGTGACCTTGACTTCCTGTCGTCTACTCATTTTACTCTTAAATGTAAAGCAGATATTGTATTGATACATTAAAGCAGATATTGTATTGATACATTAAAACAGATATTGTATTGATACATTAAAGCAGATATTGTATTGATACATTAAAGCAGATATTGTATTGATACATTAAAGCAGATATTGTATTGATACATTTAAAACTTTGTTTTTAGGTACAAAGAGGATGGAGAAGCTTTATTAATTTTACTACCCTCAGAAGAACAAGGGATGGTGCAGCAGCTTCTCCAGAAGAAAGTACCCGTGAAGGAGATCAAGTAAGAGCTGCTATTTCATCTACGGCTGTTAGGAGTGATAGCATGACGTCATTGTGCTTATTGCCTGCACTTCTTTCCTTCTTCCTCCTAAGCTATTTGACCATCTGGTTTCTGATTTAGAGGGGAAAATAAAGGACTTGAAAGAAATTGTATGGAGAAGTTTTATGCTCACAGCAAATGTGGAGGAAAGTACAGTTGCTCCACATTCCCAACCCCACACATGCAGTCTCCTCCAGTATCTTCATCCAAAGTTGACATATCAGTGTCACTTAGAGTCTCGAGTTCATACGAAGGTCTCTCTTGTTTCACTGTAAGTAGTAGAGATCCAACTTAAGGAAGTACTTTGGCTCATGGTTTCAGAGGTTGTGTTGGCAAGGAGGTATGGCAGAGCAGAGCAGAGCAGAGCAGCTCTTCTGATGGTGGGCTAGGGAGCAGAGAGAGAATGCCTGAGCTTGATGCTCCCAGTTTTAATGAAGTCTAGTCTAGTTAATGAAAAATTTCATGGATTAGCCCTTTACTTTTGCATTTAATGTCATTGCCATACTAGAAGTCATCTACGTTTTCTGCTGTTAGTTGCTAGAAATTGTGTGTGTGTCTGTGTGTGTGTTTATGCACTAGAGGTGGATGTCAAGGTGTCATTTTCAATGACTTTCCTACCTTATTTTTTTGAGATAAGATCTTTAACTGAACCTGGCTGCCTGGCAAGCTCCTCAGGTCTGCCTGTTTCTTCCTCAACTCCATCCCCAGATTCCAGTGTGTATGACTTGGGTCCGTTTCATCAAGTTGGTGCTGGAGATCCAAACTCAGATTTTCCTTTTGTGTAATATTTTGCCCATTTAGTCGTCTCCTGAGCCCGTTTCTGTCTTTTATTTATATCTGTGATTCATGTTGAAATAAAAGTATGTGTTGTATTTATGTGTTTACATGACCAGTTCTGATACCATTTATTAGAAAGACTAACTTTGTTCCATTGTGCTGCTGTGGTTTCTTTGTCAAAGATCTGTTGACTATACATGTGGCTATATTTTTCTGGGCTCCATTCTTCTTGGTTTGTTCTTTTGCCAATTTCTATCCTGTCTTGATTATTGCTTTATATTAAGTCTTGAGATTGGAGCATGACAGCCCTGCAGCTTGTGTTTGGAATCAGTTTATTGATATCCATAAAATAACTGGCTGGCATTTGGATTGGTATTACATTGAATCTGCAGAGCAAGTGTGAAACAGATTGAAACCTTGACAAGACAGAATTTTCCAGAAACTGAAAAATTGTAGTTCTTGTTTGATTTCTATCATCAGAGTTTTTGGTTTTCTTTCTGTAGATCTTGCTCACACTTTCTTAGAGTCCTGTCCCAGAAGTCCTTCTTCTTTCCTTGCAGCTTTAGTTTTTGCTGTCTCATGTCTGGTAAACAGAAAAGCCTTTGGTGTATTTGCATTCTGAAGCCTTGTTATAGTTTTTATTAGTTCCCTGAGCATTTTGTTCCTTTCTTTTGATTTTTCTAAGTAGGTCATCAATCATTTCATCTTCAAACAAGTACAGTTTATTTTTTCTTCTCCAATCAGTATGCCTTTAATTTTTTTTCTTTTGACTTACTACATTGAAAAGCAGATTTTTCTGCTTTGTTCTTTTCCTTTGTCATTTTATTTAGTTGGATGTTTTGCTTGCATATATGTCCTTAGTGCTGTGTGCTTCTGGTCCTAGTGGGAACCAGAAGAGGATGTCAGATCCCCTGGCTCTGGAATTATAGATGGTTGTGAGCTGCCATTTGGGTATTGAGTATTGAATCTAAATCTTCTTAAAGATTGTTTATTGCTCTTAACTGTAGAGCTATTTCTCCAGTACCCCCTGCTTTGTTCTTGATTTTAGTGGGAAAACTAGAAGGTTCTCATTTATATTAAGGATGATGTTAGCTCTAGTCTTGTTGTTCCTCCTCTTCCTCTTTTAAAGAAAAGACATTTTTTATTTTGAAGTTTTTTATTTCTAGTTTATAAATAACATATAATTTATTACTTACCTATACTGATCTGATGCATTATATTAATTTGCCTATTGAATGAAGGTTGAACCAGACATGGTCATGCTATAGAATTATTTATTGATTGGTTGGTTGGTTGATTGAGATAGGGTCTCTGGTCTCCACTTCCCAAATGCTGAGATCAACCTGTGTATATGTTGTTAATGTTGTTTGTGTGTGTGGTGTATTTGTGGTATGTGCGTATGTGCCTGTCTGTCTCTGATCCCGAAGCTCATCAGTTTGGCTACCAGGGCAGCCTAGCCAATGAGTTTTAGGGTACCACCTGTCTTTGATCTCTCTGCATCCTCCCCAAAAGGGCTGAGGATACAGGAATATGCTACAATGTCTCTGAAGAACTGAACTTAGATACTTATGCAAGTGTGGCAGGCACTTTACCAACCAAGTCATCTCCCCAGCCCTGACATGTTTAAAAAAAATATTGAAATAATTTTGCAGAAAACAGCAGAAAAAAAAAATAAGAGAAAAAACTTCCTAGTTACAAGGGGCATTGTGTATTGAAAGAATATTTCTTGAATGAAATCTTTTTTTGTGGGTTATTCTTTCATTTCAAAGGATCATAACCTCTCATTGATGATGTGCACTGGGCATAGTGGAATCTATTAGTCTTGTATTGGAGACATTGAAAAAACAGCTTGATTTGTGTAAAAGTAATTTGGACTAAGATAGTGGCAGGACTGGTTAAGAATATAGAAGATAAAAATTGACCATAAATTGAATTGTTGAAGCTAGTAACTTTGTATGTTTTGAAAATTTTCTCTAATAATAAAGGAGAAACAGCTGTGTTTATACTTTTTGTTTCCTTGTTACAACTCTAGAATTTGAGTAATGTAATAATTCAGTTTGAAGTTAGGAAAAAAAAATAGTCTCTTGTGAAATGTAGATTCTTTGCTATAGCCTAGTTAAGCAAAATTTAATATTTCTGATATATTTAATTTTAAATAGGTAAACAGTTTTTATGTCTTAGATACTTAATTACTTGAAATAGATTTTATATATGATTTAAAAAGAAACATTTGCAAAAATGACATTGAATTTCATCTTATTAATTTATGTCCCATGGATGTCTACTTTTTAGCTTTATTAAATTAAGAAGTAGCCTGTGCTAATAATGATGTTAATATAGATGAATAGTATAGATAACCTTCTCTTCCTCATCATTTGCTTGGAGAAATTTACTGTCCTGTCATTTTCTTCTTCCTGTGTTATTATTGATCCATAGATGAGAAATATGTTAAATACTTAAAAGTCAAATGAGGGGGCATAAGAAAATGCTATGTATTATTTTCTGTTTTGTAAAAATGAGAATGCTGTTTTAGTTTAACTATTATTTTTTTTTATTAAAAGAATCAATCCAGAAAAACTTATTGATGTTCAGAAAAAATTAGAATCATTTTTAGCTCAAGATCAAGATTTAAAAGAAAGAGCTCAAAGGGTAAGTAAATTTTAAATTCAGTATTTGTTTTTGGAATGGAAGTTATATTTTATCAATTTCTGCTGTTATTTTATTCCATGGCCATAACTAAATGGTTTAAACAATGTAAGTTTTATATAGATTACTTATTAATTTTAAGAAGTGCTTCTTAATATTTACCTGTGTATAATCTTATTGGAGGCAATGAGGAAATTCTAAGATGATTTTCATATTTGAAGCAGCCTGGTATCTAGTATACTTAATAAACTTAACTTCCTTTCTCAATGAAATTGTTGTAAGTTTGATTGCATTTACTGACTAGAAGATTAATATTCTCTGTATTAGGCTAAATTTCTAAGTGGCATAGAATTCTGCAAATTATCTTCAGAAATGAAATTTGAATCTTAATATTCTTGAATTGCTTTTCTGAACTAAAAAAGTCTTAAGAAACTGCCTCCACTTACACATTTTCCTTAGGATGTACATTTTGTAATGTGTGCACACTCTGGAGTGGCACGTCAGACTAAGTAATCTTTAGATCAGGAGAAATGTTAGAGATGAAAATCCACATGGTACTGGTAGTGTTGTGATGACTAGCAGGTCAGTTGTTTAGTGACCAGGAGATACAAAATGCTGAAAGGATATTTCCTGGTTTGTGCATACGGAAAATGAGCCTCTAAGAGTGAAGATTATAGAGTAGCACACTGAAATAAGCAGTGTGACTTGTTGCTGTCATACATGGGTTAGTAGAATGGCTGTGTTCCCGGCACCATCAGGATGTTTGGTTTCAGAAAAATGGCTTTCTAGCTTTTGATTATAATCTGGATGGAACAAAACCTATAAGCAGGGTGCTATTTCTTGTGGATGATTGCAGGAGAAAATACCATTGAACAAACTCCATTTTTTTTTAAATGCCTATGGAGACAGAAAATGGTTTGTTGGGAGATTTGTTGGGTAGAAAAGATTAATTTCTTTTCTACATTACATTAAGTAAACGTAGAGATGCAGAAGAAAATGTAAAGTTTAAGAGATATGGACAAAAGGATTAAAATACACTTTATAAAAATTATATGTGTATACTGTATGCATTCTTGTGTATGCATGTGTATATATAGGTGTGCATACATGTGTATGGAGGCCAGAGGTCAATTATGGATGTCTTCTTCAAACATTCTCTACCTTATTATTTGAGACAAGATCTTTTATTGTACCTGGAGCTATACATCAGGCTAGACTTAGCCTAGCTGGGCTGCATGGTGCAGGGATCCTTCTGTTACTGGCTCCCCAGTGCTGGGATTACAGGCACGTTTTGTATGCCTAGCCTTTTAGTGTAGATGCTGGGGATTCAGACTCAAGTTCTCATTCTTGTGTGGCCAGTACGTTACTGACTGAGCCATCTCCCCAGCCTCATAAAAATTATCTTTAAAGTAAAAGTAATTGCTTAGATGTATCTATTATCTATTTATTTTATAAACAGATAGGAACAGGATGACATAGCTCTGTCATAAGCATAGTTTTATGTAAAAAAAATGGAAGTAAGAATTTTCAGGATGATAGTAATATGTATATAATATGTATATATTATATATATAATTATTTGAAATTATAATAAAAAGGGAAAACAGTCTGTCAGTTTGGCTCATTTATTATAGTGAAATTCTATTTTGTTGAAAACTTAATTTTTGACTGCTACAGTAATATTACCAACAAAAAGCGTTTATTTTTGTCTACTCTATTTCAGAAGATATTCTGGGTGTTCTATGTAAATGTTCTCATTGGCATAACAGTGTCTTGTAGACATTTATGTTTTTTGATTGATAAGAATATTGTCATTAGAAAAATGGTGTTTCCTCAGCTAATAATATATGCAATCAGTATAGACACTCTATCTGTATTATTCCATTGCCGGTGCTGTCCCCATTGCATCTTATTATAATTGAGTATTACTAATTAATATTCAGTAGATTTTGGGAAGTTGAGTAAAAGTATGAATTTTCTCCTTTGAAGTTAAGACTTCATGTAGTTTGGCCTTGAACTTCTAGTCTCTTTGCCTCTCCCTCCTAAGTCCTGGAATCATAGGCAAAACACCACCATGCCCAGCCGAGGTGATACTTCTTATTGTCTTGGACTGGTGGAATAAAATGAAAAATCTTTTCTAATGTTACCGTTGTAATGGTTTATTTTTCTTTGCATGCAAAATACAGTTTTCTTGATGTGCTTTGTGTTTTTTCACTGCTACTGAATTTTCTTCACTACTATGTAGTTTTCTATTTTGGTTTAGTTTAATCTTCAACTTTTATTACCTTGTGCTTTTTATTTTACAGTGTTTTGTCTCCTACATACGTTCAGTATATCTTATGAAGGATAAAGAAGTCTTTAATGTGAGCAAGTTACCTATTACTGAATATGCACTGTAAGTATTGATAACATAGCCGTAATAAAGCTAGAGGGACTGTCCCAGGTGTGGCCTCTAAGCCCTAATTTAGATCACTTCTGTTCATTGAAAATTTGCAGAGAAGTATATTAAATGAACTCTGGAAAATTATCCCATATTTAGTTGTTGTCAGGAAGGTTCATATTTGTAAGTTCTGAAGTTTTTTTTGTCTTGCTACTCTTATGGTCACTTGTAGTTATTGTTGCAAGATTCGCAACTCAGGTTGACAGATAAGGAATGACTAACTGATTTTGCTTGAATAGTTGAGAGATTACAAAACACAAATAACCTTTTAAGGTAAAGGAGTAAAATCAGTTCTTTTTGAGGGAGTCTTATCTATGGAAAATGCTCCTTGACAAGATCGTTTAGAAGTACCCTTAAGTGTCTTCATACTTCATTGTCTGTCTTAGGTTTCCCAGATAAGGATGTTTTAGGCAAGGTCTGTATGTTTAGCTTGTTTTCTAGGAATTTGAGTACCTTTTCTTTCAGATTAAGTTTGATAAAGAAAACTAAAAAAAAAAAAAAAGATTTTATTAGGATTTCATACCAGAGAGTTCAATGTATTTGTATCCTTTCCACTTCCCCATTATAACAAAAAAAATGGCCTTGGTAAGCTGCTGTTTTCTATTCTGTGTTAGATTATATGCTTAATATAACATAATCTGTCAGTTGTAATATTTTAAAACCCTTGTGTTAGGTAACAGTGTAGGACAGTGTTAGCATTACTATTTTAGTAATGTGTGGAACGCCATGTGTCATGGATAACATACTCTTGCTTCCTTATGTTTATTTACCAGCTCCTAGTTTCATCATTTTTAATATCACACAAAGACTAGGCTTTTTAGCTACTTTTGTATTCTATGTGAACTTCAGTGGTTTTTATTTTGGTTGTTGCAGCTAGAATATTCACAAATGACGGGCACAGGTTTTAAATATTGCAGGAACATAATTAGAAGTCATATCAAACTACTTGCTTTTGGTGAGGTTTTAGAGAAGGTAAACAATTATGTTACACTTAAGTGATCAGTATAGTTTAACTGTTTTTTAGTTTATGTTTATATTCAGATGTATAAGTTTCTTGAGGTGTATTTCTTCTCGAAGCCTATGATAGCTAAAGCAGTTGTTATGTGTGGATGTCAGGAAGTGCATGCTGACAGGAGCCTGATATAGCTGTCTCCTTAGAGGTCTGCCAGAGTCTGACATATTCAGAGGCGGATGCTCACAGCTAACCATTGAACTGATCAAGGGGTTCTCAGTGGAGGAGTGAGAGAGAAGACTGAAGGAGCTGAAAGGGTTTGTGGCCCCATGAGGAGAGCAACACTACCAACCGACCAGAGCTCCCAGGGTCTAAAACACCAGCCTGGGAGCACATAGGGAGGCTACCCATGACTCTAGCTATATATGTAAGGGAGGATGGCCTTTTCAGCATAGGTGGGAAAAGAGATCCTTGGTCCCATGAAGGCTGGACACCCAAGTGTGGGGAAATTTGAGGGTGGGGAGGTAGGTGGGGACTCTTCCTCATAGAAGCAGGAGGAGGGGGGATGGGATAGAGAGTTCCCGGGGGAGGGCAGAATGGGTTAAGGGGATAACATTTGAAATGTAAATAAAATATCCAATAAAATAATAAGATATCAGGTTTAAAAATATGCACTGAAGAAGTACTTTTGAGTGTCCAATATATGTAGATCATTGCATTCAATGATAGAATTATACATGTGTGTGTGTGACACACACACATATATATACATACCTCCCCCCTCCCTCCCTCCTTCCCCTCCTCCTCCCTTCTCTTCTTCTTTCTCTCGTCTTCTTTCTCTCCCTCTCTCTCTCTCTTTTCTTTTCTTTTCTTTCTCTCCCCTTCAAGGAATTAAGGTTTTAGTTCCTAAGAAGTATAAATGTCACTGTACTGTATTACGAGAAGTCCTCTGGTATATACAAACCTATTCTCCCAACCTTTCTATTACGACAGTAGTACAGTAGTGGCAGAAGGGTTATCACTGTTGTATATTTGTTACTTTAGCTTCATTATATCTGTTTATTAACTCTTTAACATGATTATATTTGGTAGGCATTCTCAGCCATTCCGTTTTTCAGATAAGAAAACCGTTAGGTGACTGTTCTTGAGATCACACAACTAGTAAACGGCAAAGCTGTGCATGTTGAACTTCAGCAGTTCTATCTCTGAGTTTGTGCTCTTCAGTATTGAACTTCTCAGCGTTTGTTGTGCATTATATAGGGAAAAATGGTTAAAGCTGCCATTTATTTATTTATTTTATTTATTTATAAGCATTTTTTTTGACAGACCTGGAGATACACACACACATGTGATTGCCATGTAGATAAGGCTGTCCTTTAACTCATCTGCCTGCTCCGGCCTCCTGAGGGCTGGGATTAAAGAGCAAATGGCCACAATGCCTCACTTAACCTTTACTTTTTTAAAACTTGTATTTCTATATACCAGTGAGAGTTTAGTGAAAATTGTTGGCTTTGATTGTGTAAGAAAACAACCAATCTTAAATAAAATCTTGTTCTAAAGGTGGAAAAACAAAAAAAATAACAAGAGTCCCTTCTTTTAGCTCCTTTTAAAAGAAAAATGCATGTTTATAGCTGTGATTATGCCTGTTTTTCAGAAGTGGGATTTGAGGCAGGGATGATGGTATATGTATTATGCTCTATTCTTTGAAAATAGCTGTTTTCCATACCGCAGCCATGCCTTTTCCAGTTTATGTAGTAGCATATATTTTTCAAAGTACTTTCATGCAGTTAATTGGCATCTCTTTTCTATGTTGTGAGGAAGCTGAGAGTTGAATTTGAAATTGGGTCTGGTACATGAACTGTGATCATCTTGTTTCTATTTGAGTGCTCTTTATTTCATACTATATCAGCTCTGGAAGGAGAATGAGGTGTCTAAAGCATTTTCTGGACAAGTACTCAGTTCATTTTGGCTTGTCTTTTGGATCATTTAATCTGTCAGAATTGATGTGTCTTAGAGGGATTTATTTTTTACAAAAAGCCTTGGACATAGATCTGTGGAGAAACTTTCATAATACCACAAACATACCATCAACTATAATGAGATAATTATTTTCACTTTTTGAAGGTCCCTTGGTCTTGCTGTGGCACCACGGATAAGATTTCTTCAGAAAATGGAGAAACAGCCCACCAAAGAATTGGTAAAGAATCAACTTAGCGTTGATTCAACAGTTCAGCCCAGGGTTCCCTCCCTCACCAACGATGAAGTAGAAGAATTTCGGGCTTATTTCAGTGAGAAAATGTCCATCCTTCACAAAAGTGGGAAAAGTCTAGACGAGACAGAACACAGATTGGCTAGTGATGATAGTGAAGAACAGGATGACGAGACGGAAGATGAAGAAATGGAAGATCATCTGGGAAAAGCAAGAGAGCCTCACACTGAATCTCTTCTCAGTATTGAGGAGGCACAGAAGGTCAAGGAAGTTCCCGTGCAGTTCTTAGACAGAGATGATGATGAAGAAGATGGGCCTGATGCTGACTTCCTCACAGTGAAACGGCGTGATGTGTTTGGGTTGGATCTTAAAGAGAATGAAGCACTGTCCGTAAGTGTGCTGCAAATGGAGTCTTCTCTTGGGTTCTTAGTTTGTGCTTATTGTAGCTTTTGGAAAACTAATGAAGAGTAACAACCAAGAGGAACTTAGAATGAGTTTCTTTGTTGTGCACTCTTCCATTTCTCCTTGTATTTAAATACAGGAAAAGTGCCAAAGAATTCTCATACTCTTCCTAACTTCAGAACTCCAGAGGTTGTCAGCCACAATCTTTTTTATTGGTTTTCTGATGCTATGTTTGAAAGTAGCTGTAGTAATGATTGTGACAGGAAGGAGTCAGTGAAGTTTATTGTTACACCGTGAGAATCCTTCATAATGAGTCTTAGCATCCAATCTCTTGATGAACTACATTATTATAAAGAGCAGTTGTAGTTATGTACACCTTTAAAAAAATTACTATGGTTTTTCCTATATGAGTCCACTTTATTTTGATCACATTCACCCCTCAACTGCTTCATGTCCATACATGTGTAAGTATGACCTTTCTATGTACACACATACAAGCATACATCACATACACACACACACACACATACACACAGTGGATGTGTAAGTATATATCTGTAATCTACATCTCTATCTCCATATATGTATATAGCCTACTGAGTTAAATTAGTGTTGTTTGCATGCTCATGGGACAACCTAAGAGGGGCTCTACCATTGAAGTAAGCTGTCTTTTTCCAAGCAGCTGTTGGCTGTCAGTATTTACATCAGAGCATGAAATAAATAAATAAATAAATAAATAAATAAATTTATTTAAAATCTGTTTATTTTAGACACATTAGTGTTTTGCCTGCATATGTGTCTGTACCTTATGCATGCAGTACTTGTGAAAGCCAGAAGATTTTAGAACTGGAGTTAGGGATGGTTGTTAGCCATTAGGTGGTTGCTGGGAACTAAACTTAGGTCCTCTGTTGGGGCAATGAATTTTCTTAGCCACCAAGCCTTCTCTCTAGCCCCATGAAATTTGTTTTTAATAAGATATTTGCTTTTGAGAATCAAGTATCTTAAGTAGAAATTTCCCATTACTTTTTGTGATCTTCTGAAAGAATTGTGTGAAACAATTAGCCTGACTCTTACTTACAGTATTTCTAAAAATCTCTAGAGTTACAGCAAGCACCTGATTTTAAATGAATGAAACTTTCAAAGTGTTTTAAAGCAATTAAAAGAAATAAAGTGGCAGATATGCACACTAAGCACTGACTTATTTAGAGCAATGTTTTATAAAAAGCATGCCATTTATTTTCTGAACTACCCTGTGAAGTAAGTGCTGTTATGTACACAAGAGAGAAAATCTGGAGCAAAATCCTGTACTGACTTCTGCTTTAAATTACGTTATTCAAAGTCATGACTCCTTTAAATAAATAAGTGAAGTAAGAATAAGACACTGGATTGATTTTTATTTATTTATTTATTTTTATTTATTTATTTATTTATTTTTTATTTTTTGCACAACAGACTTAAGACACAGGCCTCAGTAGATAGAAATTAAATATCTGTGGTACTACCAGGCTTCTACTCTTCACTGAGGACTTTAAGGCCAAGCCAGATATTCTTGGAACAAACTGTGCAATCCCCTCTGAGGCCATTTTTTTTAATTGGATATTTTTTAAATTTACACTTCAAATATTATCCCCTTTCCCGCCCTCCCCCCCATCCCCTATCCCATCCCCCTACCCCTGCTTCTATGAGGGTGTTCCCTACCCATCCACCCACTCCCACATCCCCATCCTGGAATTCCTCTACACTGGGGCATCGAGCCTACATGACCAAGGGCCTCTCCTCCCATTGATGCCCAACAAGGCTATCCTCTGCTACATATGCAGCTGGAGCCATGGGTCCCTCCATGTGTACTTTTTGGTTGGCGGTTTAGTCCCTGGGAGCTCTGGGGGGTCTGGTTGGTTGATACTGTTGTTCTTCCTATGGGTTGCAAACCTCTTCAGCTCCTTCAGTCCTTTCTCTAACTCTTCCATTGGGGACCCCAACATACTGGATTTTAATCTTATCTATTAAGTCAGTGTGATGATTAATCTTGATTGTCAGCTTGACTGGATTGAGAGTCAGCTAAAAGATTTATATCACACTGTCATAAAAGCACCTTCCTTGCAAAGGTGAATTTATGTAGGAGATACATAGTAAAAAAATCTCTTATGAAGTACATTTAGCTTGAAAAAAAAAAAGTTTTAGTCATTGTCACAATCCAGAGTGAAGCAGTTCATCAATGAAACATTACTGCATCCTCTTTGGAGTAAGTGACTTCACTTCAGTGCATTCTCAACTACTGATCTGATTGTTGCTCTTGTAGTTTGCAGTTTTCAGAATGACATGTAGCTAAGCTATAGAGTGTGTAGTGTGGTGTGTTTGGTGCCTCTGCTCTTGTACTTTCACTACATTCATCAGTAGCTAGTCCATTTTCATTGCTGAGGATTCCCAGGGTTTTTGACAGTAGGCATTGACATTCACAGTTCTTGTGATTATGACAAAGGCTGCATGGGTATATATATATATTTTCACTTCTCTAGGGTATATGTAATCTAGTGGGGTAGATAAACATCAGGATGTAAGACAAGTCAGTATATGTTTTTCTTTGAGAGGAGCGCTATAGTTACTTACCAAGTGAGTTTGTTTGAGCATTAATGAGTCTTTAAAACTCACAATATTTCTTGCTTTTAAATTGTATATGTTCAGCTATATAGCCAAATCTATTAAAGTTTTAATGGCATTTTCCTGGTGGTAACTAATGGTGAACATCCTATCACCCTACATTTGCTGTCTGTGTATCTTCTGTGGTAGAATGTCTAGCTTTAGCTCTTTCAAAAATTACATTGCTTACTTTACTGAGTTGTTTATGTATTCTAGATCCACATCCCTTATTAGTTGTCCTTTCTAGTATTTTCTTTCAGTTATGTCTTACAAAGAGCAGAAATACTAAATTTTGAAATGTTTATCTTTTATAATTTATAAATATCTGATAAATTTGTGGTCAGTACAAGGTGATAAAAATCTTGTGCTATGTTTTCTTCCAGAATCTTAGGGATTTAGCCTTTATTTAGAACTAAAATTTATTTCAACTTAATTTTTGTGAATGGTTCTAAGTCGGAGATCAAGTTTAACTTTTTTGATGTTACTTATTGGTATCCAGATCCTTTATCTTTCACAGAAAATATGATTTTTTTCCCATTGGATTACCTTGATCCTTGTTGAAAGTCAGTTGACTGACACTATATGTGGATTTTGTGTGTATGTGTGTGTGTGTGTGTCTGATTGATTTCTGTTGTATCTTATTTGTTTGTATTTTCACTAATAATACCTGTCATGATTACAGTAGTTTTGTAGTAAATCTTAAATTACTTTGAGTTTTTAGATTTGATATATATATATATTTTACCATTACATTTTCAAAGCTATTTAAATTAGCTGTTTGATTTGTGTAGAAAGCTTGCTGGTGTATTCATTAACATTTCATTGTACTTTTAAATCTGGTTGGAACCAGTTGACACCTCAATACTGAGTCTTTTGATTCTATGAATATGGTAAGTTTTCCATTTATTTAGGTCTCCTTTACTACCTTTTAGCATTGTTATGCATACCACATACATACTTTGTTAGAGTAATCTTTTACTATTTAGTATTCTTCAGTACTATTTTACATGAACCTTAAAAGTTTAATTTTGCATTTTTTTCTGGCAAGTATATAGAAGTACAATTTGTTTTTATGTGTCATTTATTGTAGACTGGTGACACTTTTGGGAGTTCTTTGACTTCTTCCATATAATTGTTTAAATCATCTTTATTTGTGAACAGCAAAATAATAATTATTATTTTTACTTTCTGTACATCTCTTATTTCACTTTCTTGTCTGATTATGACTTAAGAATGTGAGAAGTAAGGACAGATACCAATATGTTGTTCTTGATCGTAGGTGGGATAAACATTGAGATATTATTCTTGCATCTGATGTTAGCGGTCCAGTTGTTTTTGTTTTATCAGATTAGAAAAGTTTAATTCTATTTCTAGTTTGTGTAGCTTTTTTGTTGTTGTTGTTTTTTGTTTTTTGTTTTTCTTTGAGACAAGGTTTCTCTGTATAGCCCTGGCTGTCCTGGAACTCACTCTGTAGATCAGGCTGGCCTCAAACTCAGAAGTCCGCCTACCTCTGCCTCTCAAGTGCTGTGATTAAAGGCATGCGCCACCACTGCCCGGCTATCATGTAGCTTTTTTAAAAACCATAAATGGATGATAAATTTTGTTATATACTTTCTATAATTATTAAGGTAATCACATGATGGTTCTTAGTCTGTATATATAGTATATTTTCTACCCCCACTTTTGAACCAGTTTAAATTCCTATGGAAAAAAAACCCTTTACTTGAACATGGTTTGTTTTCCTTTACTTAGGGTGGATTCTATTTACTAATAGATATTTTGTTAGGGCCCTTTGTTTCTGTTGTCACAAAGAAAATTTGTTTTCTTTTTATAATGACCTGTCTGGATACTATATATTTTAAAGACTTCTAGCTTATTTTGTTAAATAACCTAACAGAATGGTTATTTTGGTCATGGTTATGTTCTCTTTCTAGTTCATTGTCTGTTTACACCATTATTGAATAGTAACTCATTTGTAGGTTTATTCATAGGAAATGGGCATTTTGAAGCTCTATAAGAATTATTTGGTTGAAATACATTATTGAATTTTTGTAAGCTTGAACATAAATAATTTACTAGCTCTAAATGACAGAGCAGGTCCAGCCTTATGGTTATAACTTATGGTTTCTAATTATGATCTAAAGTTCTGCTTTTATTACACTTATAAAATTTTCATCTTTCCATTACCAGATATGGCCCCTCTTTACCCTGGGCCAGAATTACAAGTAAAAAATTAATCTGTTTTCATTCTTATAAATGTTGCTTTTTTTTCCTCAGATGGAGGGATGAGATGAGAGCCATATCCAAACTGTGAGAGCCCAGAACATTTTTTTTCCCTCTATTCTAACTAT